CATGTTACGGCTGCAATAGTAGTCTACATGTAAACTGGTAAGTGAACTTTTATCCTAAACAGAGATTATTCTCAAGTTAAAAGTTAATTGTATTACAAATCGTTGGTTTAAAGTATAAAAAATATATGCTAGAAACGTTTTCTTTGAAGAATTTGGTTTTCTGTAAACGAAATGCTCGGGTACACTGAAATAGTTTTCGAATTCCATATTTCACATTATCGTTCAATAATATACCATATTAACGTAATGAAACTTAACCAAACCATGGACAGAGTAGATAATACAGTAACACTAATTATGTTGTTCTCCGTCCATTCCCGTGAGTTGATTTACTTTTGAAGACAGGTTTTTGCTGATTAGGGAATGAGAACGGGTTGAGTGTATATTATATGGACTGAACAAATGAACAAATCCACAAGGGCCGTGACGAGGATTCGAACCTGCGTCCAGGAGCATCCCAGATTATATGGACTGTTTTGGAGATCTTGAGCCATGCATATTTATTTTGGAATGCTTGTCACACAAGTTTGTAATAATATTTTTTTAAACTATTTCTGCAAAGCATTATATTATCAAGAGCAAAACGTCTATGTTCAAATTACAGGTACTATATTAGTATTTTTTTAAGACTTACCAGTTGGTAAATTGAAGATGCAGTGGGGGACATTGTTGGCCACGAATGGGCAGTGTAAACAACCAGCCAGCTATTAGTTCAGCAGCCTTCTGTGTCAGAGGTGGATATTTCCTCTTGAGCCACACGCAAACTTGGCATGGGAGCTTTTCGCGATCCTCGTGGCTTCTCGATTCCTCAGGTTAGTGACTCACTCATGGGACACAGGGCTCTTGTATACGAAGTAGGCACGGTATCTTGACCCAACCTGTCCTCTTACAAACAACGTCGCATTTCGATCGTATGCGTTACATAAAACCAAATTGTCTTACCTGAAAATGGGACAGGCACATTTTCAACTGAAAATAATTGGCCCTATTAATTATTATTTTCGCGAAAATAATTAATAGGGTGCCTCAGGCCCTTACAAGGCTGGCAACCAAGCTTCATAACCTGGGTATTCTAGACTTCCCAGACTGAATGTAACAACTCTTGTATATATCTAAAAAAAAGTGACGTACTGACTCCTTTTCTGTTAGGTTAAGAGAGGACACTTTAAATTCATCATTTTCTTGACATTTAGCAACCTTAGGAGGGACGGGCTGCTTGACTAGATGCTCGGCGTCTCGTCCTCCACTGGGTACCTCACACGGGTAGACATAGGAATGACATTGTAGATGGCAGCTGTGACCTTGACCCCATGCCTCAGGCCCATGTGAAGCGCACATAGTGGGACCCTGCGAGACTTTCCAGGTGCTCCATCTGGTCAGTATGGACATGTGGTTCCTACCTCGCCAGACATTATTGTTGCTACTGATTATAAAAGTCCATCGGGACTGCCATCTCCATTCTCACAACACTCGGCTGCGCATTGGCCTTACAAGGCTGGCAACCAAGCTTCATAACCTGGGTATTCTGGACTTCCCAGACTGCCCGTGGTGTCAGGGTCAAGATCAAATTGATTTTTTTGTTGCTGCAGCACCAAGGGATTACAAGGCCCAAAAGGTCGTCATCAGACCTCGGTGGATGTTTGACATTGACCTTTACAATTTATCTGCACATTATAATGATTGTTAATAACAAACTTCTTGCACTACAGTGCTATGTATGACAATATTTTATTGCACATTGGAAGTAAGTCATTTTCTTTATACTGAAAATAATTTTAAATATTTAACATTACAGGGTAATGTGATTTAAGTATATACAACTAATTACATTTATTTACAAGTGGAATATGAATACAGTGCAAGAATTTCAGATATTTTATCATTTACAATAAAATGATTTAACATTTCATGCAACACAAGTTCAGATTTATCTTTAAACAGCTCAATATTAATGTAATGACCAAGAAAATGTCACACTTTACATTTAATGCCATCTATATTCAGTATATAGATCCCACATACAAGCTGGGGATACTTGTAGTCAGTCGTATTTGAGGTGTGACATCTGTCAGTCTTCTGATTTCGTTGTTTGCCCCATACAAGTGTTTTGTTTGAGACAGTTTGTGATAAATAATGTGTCTACTAGAATTCTATTTAATAGCCCAAGCATGTGTTTAACATGTTATTTACTGCAAACTTGGCAAAGGCATAAACTTTATCATGTCCTTGCAGCCCAATGTGTGAGAGAATCTACAACAATTTGAATGATTCCCTTATTAAGAATGCATATTAGAGGGTCCTTATAGTAGTCAGGTTCATTCTAGACTCACAATCAAGAATTCCGGGTTCGAATCCCGGGATGCTCAGAAATAGTTTTGCATGTTTCGTTTCACCTCATGCCCGCGACGGTCTCGCTTCATACAGGTCGGCGTTCAATCCCCGACCGCCCTAGTGGTTGGGCACCATTTCTTTTACCTCGTCCCATCCCAAATCCTTATCCTGACCCTTTCCAAGTCCTATATAGTTGTAATGGCTTGGCACTTTCCCTGATAGTTTCTTTCTTTTCCTTCACCTCAAGCCCTTGTCCACCTAGCAGTAAATATGTACCCAGGAGTTAGTCAGCTTGTTATGGAGTTGCATTCTGGGTGGGGTCAGTAATTTGACCCTTGATGGGGGGGGGGCCTCGGTATAAGCCTAACATGTAACCTTGCTTCATATCCCCTGACACAATGAATTAAAAAATATATATACCTGGCTTCAGACAAGCATGTTACAATTTGATTAAGTTATTAAAAGCTAGTAATGAGGAAATGGAAGATTATTAAGCTGTTTGCTGCAGAGTTTTCAGTAATTTTGAGTACTACAAGAATTGCCAATAGTAAAGTTGCAAAGTGAATGTCAAATTACTGACTTGCATTCCTCTATTTTTTTTTTTAACATTGGGCTAGCAAACGATGATTACTTCCTGCCATCCCTGTAACTGAATTGAGAGTACAGTACTGTCAGTGTATATTGTGTGTGTTGTATCTTTCAGTTTGTAGATTGTGTGTGTGTTCAAGGGTACTTAGTTTAACAGCAAGCTGAGTTTGAAGGTTGTGTGATTGGTTTCATGGTTAGGTATGTAGATGTCATGATGTGAAGAGGTAGTATATTCCATGGAGCAGGGTGCTGCACCTTTTAACACTGCAATCACATTTGAATTTAATAATAAATAATTGTCAGGAGACAGGCAGCCAGTGTATATATGCATGTTAGGCTTATATTGACTGTCCAGCCACTTTGACTGGATGGTAGAGTGACGGTCTCACTTCATGCAGGTCGGCATTCAATCTCCGTCTGTCAAAGTGGTTGGGCACCATTCCTTCTCCTGGTCCCATCCCAAATCGTTATCCTGACCACTTCCCAGTGCTATAAAGTCATAATAGCTTGGCACTTTCCCCTGATAATTAAAAAAAAATTATATTGACTTTCTTCCCCCCCCTTCTCCCTCAGGATGCAACCCCAAAAAGCTGACTAACTCCTGGATATCTACTTACTGCTAGGAACAGGTCATTAGGTGATAGAAAATGCTCCCAACCATTTTTGTCCTGCCCGGGATTCAAACCCGGAACTCTCAACTGTGAGTCGAGAACAAAACTCCACTGTACTACCGGGACCCTATTAATATAAATAGCTTTCTTTGAAAACCAGCCAGATCACTAGTTCCTCTGCATGTTCTAATACAGTAGTTCAATTGATAGTGATACATGTTGCCACACTAAGGCCCAAGTCTTGTCATAGGATAGATTTAATATACAGTATTCTATATTGAATGCGAGGTATACTCAAACCTTTTTGCATATTAAGAACTTTGGTAGTTATTGGAGAGTGCAATATATATTGAAGGGCTGCTTCTGCATTTTTTTGTGCAGAATACAGTACCAGTATTTTGTCTGATATAGACAAAATATAGATATTTTGTCTATGATATAGACAAAATATAGATATTTTGTCTATGATATAGCTGGTTGGAACATAAGTCTATCAGAGACCTTATATGCTAAGTACATACAGTCAGTAAATTTAGCCATTTTAATATTTCCACTGTATTAAGGGTGTACCATACTACAGTTCAGGTATAAGGGACTGAAATTCCAAGGTACTGGATTTAAAATAGGAGACATGGGTAATATGTATGTTATCAGTCTCAAGTTTTTGTTGTCCACTTTTGTGATTACCAGTTTGTTGAGCACCTTGGGTTTTTCACGAGAAGATTACAAGATCATCTGTTTAAAAACCTGTGTGTACAATTTAAGTATTGGCATCTTGGTGGGTTTAGGTCTGTACAGTTCAAGGGTATCATATAGTAATGTTTTTTAGGAAACTTGTCGGGATTGATTTTAGCAAGATAATGAACAAGGTGGAGCTCAAAACTACTTCTGTCTAGTTGCATTAATTTTTACTTTTGTAGCTTTGAAACAGTGCAGAGGAATTTTGATTGGTAAGTTAACCTTGGATCTCTTGTAACATTTGACTGCCTATTCCTATTTTACCTAATTCTTACAAAATAACTTCTTTGTTAGCAATATCAAAAGGATTTTTAAAGTCAAAAGATGCATATTTGTGCCTTTTATCTTTATGAGCAGTGAGAAAGGTTGTGATAAAGTTTTTTATACTTTTACCATGTGAAACCATTAGTATTGGGGTGACGTATGCTCTTTAATACTGTACTACACAATGATAATAATGACTTGAAAGAATGACTACATTTGGAGCCATTTTTGAACCTCAACTAAGTAGTAATATAGAAAAAAAATGCAACCAAAGTGTATACTGTATATGACAAAAATCAGTTTAGTTTTGTTAGGTTAGGTTAAATTTGTTTGAGTAGCATTTTTTACCACAGCTACTTTATAGGCATTTTTTTTAGAAAGCTGGGAAAAATTATAACAATTGAGTCATCATAGATGTTTTTTCTTTATCTTGAAATCTTTACTGTATTAACATTTATTTTGTTGCAGATTGCACCTGATCTACATATTTGCTGTGAAGAGAATTGTTTATTATGAAGAGCTGTGTGGCAAGATGCTCCAGTCAATAGGGAGAAGGGAATGATCAACAAATAATGTTGGTAAATAAAGAGAACAAAATTTATGGAGATCCTATGACTGTAAGGTGTTGGAAAGGATTACAAGTTAGCTTTGTAAGGACCAGACACAGGTAACTTTGATACATGCTTGGCATACAGGTTAGTTATACTGTAGTTAAGAAGCATACATGGGTAGCTTTTCCAGGGTGGAAAATAATAGAGGAATCTACAGAACGCCATTTGGCCCGAGTGAAATCATGGTTACGTACCTTTAAAATGTAAAGGTAAATGTAAAGGTAAATGTAATAGTAAAGACTTTAAAGGTAAATGGTACCTGAAAGGTACCATTTAGGTTGACATTCTTGATGGGTCAGGTGGTACTGTACCATTTTGGTTGACATTAGATTCTGACAGCAGTATTGAGTTTAAGATCCAAATTTTAAAAGCTTGAGAACCTAGTCAACTATTGCAGTATTATATTTAGAAAAGTTTTTTATGTATCCAAGAAAAGTAAAAAGAGTATAGTAAATGGCAACTTCTGTAATTTAACAGCTCTAATATTGCAGTGAAAGGATTAAATTATTTATCAATTTTGCCATGAAATATTGTATATTTAAAGTGCTGTACTGTATATTTTTGTGTGTTTTTGATTGTGTTATACAGTATCTATGTAACTATGTATCTATGTATGGATAAATAAATTGTACTTTAATAGTTGGCTGAATATTGAACCTTTACCTAAACATTGGGAATATGTTGGATGCATATCCATGTAGGATGGCCATACATATTTGGCTGCAAACAGTGCAAAGAATTTGGGTATCATGTAATGGTATGCTGATTTTGTTCTTAGTTCACCCAATGTATTAATGTATTGTTCACCCAATACCCACGGAGCACTGGCGGCAAAATATAGCAGGTTCGACAGTTTCACTTCACTTCTCACTTGTTTTGTTAGATGCACTCACTTTGACTTGCACCTGGCCTCTTTTTAGTCATCCATTTGACTAAATGGTAATATGATGTGTGTGATTGGTTCTCTCACACATTGGGCCTTGATCCCCAATTACTTAGTTAGGTTTTGTATTTTAGTTCAGATTATTTTTTCTTGAGGATACACTTTTTTTTACATTTTCTTTCATTGCTATGTTTATTTCAGGCCCTCCTCTCTGTAATGATGACTATTCTGTTACGGCTACCCTAAGACCGTTTGGTCCTCCTTCCCTGTATTTAAATGCAATTTCTCTGCTTATAAGATTTTACCTGAAGCCCACAAACTCTAAAAGACCTCAACAGACAGCTTTTCAAAGAACCCCCCCCCCCCTCCCTTATTCTTTAGGATTTTTCCAGATGAATTTTGAACTCTAGTAATGTTTTGGCATTTATTATTTATTATTGGCATTTACAGCTTCGGTGGGTAGGCAATTCCATGGGTTTATTAACCTATGGGTAAAAAAATCTTATCTATCTTACATTGTGGCTTGTTGAGCTTAGTTGTTGTCTCTTGTACTGTATGTCTATATCTGCTTTATTCCATTCCCATCTGGTGCTGCCATTACTTTCCTACACTCACTTGGTTTCACAGAGTATAAAGTAGCTTCCCATGGCTTCCTTACTAGATACCTGGTTGATGGAGTTCTGGGAGTTCTTTTACTCCCCAAGCCCGGCCCGAGGCCAGGCTTGACTTGTGAGAGTTTGGTCCACTAGGCTGTTGCTTAGAGCAGCCCGCAGGCCCACATACCCACCACAGCCCCAGTTGGTCTGGAACTCCTTGGAGGAAACAATCTAGTTTCCTCTTGAAGATGTCCACGGTTGTTCCGGTAATATTTCTTATGCTCGCTGGGAGGGTGTTGAACAACCATGGACCTCTGATGTTTATAGTGTTCTCTAATTGTGCCTATGGCACCCCTGCTCATCACTGGTTCTATTCTGCATTTTCTTCCATATCGTTCACTCCAGTATGTTGTTTTACTGTGTAGATTTGGTACAGGGCCCTCCAGTATCTTCCACGTGCATATTATACAGTACAATGTACTAACAATACCCCATAGCTTCCTTAGGTAATCTATATTTACAAAGGGAAAATTTGTTCATCTGCCTGTTTCAAGGCTGGGAACCAGACTTTTTGGCTACTCACCAAATTTTGAAGGGTGATTTGTGTTTCTAGGGATGGTCATAGGAAGATAGAGGTGTCGGACCCCATGCCCTCCCCCCTTTTTTTGCAAGAAAATAGCAAATTAGTGTAATTTCCAATCTTGCTAAATGCCAAATTCTATCCTCACCGAGATTCATCTAACATATTACTTTCCACGTGATTGTTAGTTTGTTCGTGTAGTTTATTGACAGTCACTGTTCAGTGAAAATCATTACAGAGGTGAAGAGAAAGTGATGAAGGATAGAGAAAATGATGAAGGAAAGGAAAAGTGGGTGAAGGAGGTGGAAGATGGTGAGTAGGAAGGTAGTAATGGAGGAGGAAGATGGTGAAGGGGAGGAAGATAGTGATGGAAAGGGAAGATGATGAAAGGTAGGAAAAGTAGAGGAGATAGCAGGTAATGAAGAGTAAGGAAGGTGGTGATGGAGAGAGGTTTGTAGATAGGAAACCCAGTGGTACTTTGCTAGTGATGATGATTACAGAGATGAAGACAGTTATAGTGCTAAGGATAGTTGTGTAGTGTATATGGTTAGTGATGAGGATGGTTGTATGTAGTGTAGATGGTCAGTGTTGTGTTTATGTTTTCTGGTGCTTTGTTTGGACATTTCACTTGCTTGTTTCCAGACTATCATATCATTTTATTCCATGATGTATTTAAATAATTGATGATTCACTTGATAGCTCTGGCCCGGCAAGCTCTAGGATTTTTGTCACCTCCCCTCCTCCGTGCTCTTGCCTTCAACGTGTTTTGCTTTCCTGTTTCCATACATTAATTGCATTATCCTTAGAGGCATCTGGAACATCTACAATCCCTGCAGTATTCAACAATATGCCAACCAGCTTACTTTCAGTTATACATACTTTTCAGACTGCATTTAATTAATGTGGTTTCTGTTTTGATATTGTTTGTATTATCCACAGCACAGTAACTGGAACTTGCCCTCATTAAAGATCATATTTTTGTGGGGCATTGAAAAAATTGATTAACATCAGATTGGAGGTTTGCTGTCTTCCATATTGTCTGCTGTCATGAGAATCCTAGTGTTATCTACAAAGGATGATATGGTGCTCCAGTTTGTGTCCTTGTCCGTATCTTATATGAGGGCAAGAAAACATAGCGGAGCAAAGCACAATACTTTGGGGCACTAAGCTTTAAACGGACGATCCAGATTTTTTTTTTTGGAGGAGGGGGGGTTTAAGTCAAAGATCCATCTCCCTACTTTCTCAGTAATTCATTGTGTGCAATAACACTAGGGTCACTTCAAAAGCATTTATGAAATTGTGTATTTTGTCAGTATTTTGCTTATTTTCCCGAGCATCTAAAACCATGTCATTCTGGTCTGGCAGGAGTACCATGTTCTGAACCCATGTTGCCCAGGGAAATATAGGCACTGATTGTGTTTTGTGATTTTCTTGGCACTCTTTCAAAGACTTTTGTGTGTGATGTTAAGAGCTCTTGGTCTACAAATTTTTACATCTGCTTTATTACCACCTTTGTTTAGACCTCTGCTGTTTTATGTATGTACCTGGATGAGCTCCTGGGAGTTATGTTTTTGCAAGCCCAGCCCTGGACCAGGCTTGACTTCATCTAACAGGCTGTTGCTTGGAGCGGCCCACATGTCCACTAATTCTGTTAGTCCAGCACTTCTTGTAGAATTTTTTTTTTTAAGGCGTCCACTTTTGTTCTGGCAATATTTCATAATACAGTGTACAATACTTGCTGGGAGGAAATTGAACCACCAATGACATCTGATGTTCATACAATATTGTGCCTATGGCACCTCTACTCTTCACTGGCTCTATTCTTTGTCCTTACATATCGTTCACTCCAATGTTACTGTATTTTTCTGGGACCTGACCCTCCAGTACCTTCCTTGAATATACTGTATTTTATACCTCTCGTCTCCTTTCCAGAGTACATTTGAGTTCTCTGAGATGATCCCGATAATTTAGGTGCTTTAAAAACATGAAAGTGAATACTGTATTTAGTTTCAGTGGGTGGAGGCACTCATTGGGTGTATGTTAGATGCAGTACAAAGTCTGCATCTGGCACTTTTCAACACCTGGTGCTCAATTTTGCTGATGCTTCCTGGTTTACTGCCATTTCACATATGGTTTTATTTACATCCAGAGTTTTTATATCCATATTTGCATCACGGGTGTAAAACCGTCAATAATTGTTTAAATTGTATGATGATGACTACAATCATCTAGTAACATTCACGATAACTGCATTTGTACCATGAAATGGTAGCATGATTTTTTTAATGGGGGTCAAGGTAAACCCCATTCCATCCACATGTGGATAGAGCAATGGAGTTGCTGACCATGATGAGCATAGAGCCCAGTAGGCTCAGGAATCTGTACAACAGTTGATTGACAGTTGAGGCAGGACTAAGAGCCAAAGCTCAACCCTCGCAAGCACAACTAGGCAACTACATAAGACTAAGAGATAAGACTATCCATATTTGCATCATACATGTAAAACCCAGACAATTATTAAATCTTCATGTGATAACCGCTAAGGGTTGAATTCCTACTGATCATGACCTGCAGATTTTTTTTTTGTCAAAACAGCCATTTCAGTACCATCCAGTTGATATAACTAACATCATGACCTAGCCACAGAACCTTATATTTGTCAGCATTTAACTACAACTGCTAATCTTTCAACTACTTCAAAAGCTTGTTCAAAAGCATTTTTTTTTTTTTTTTGGTCTTCCAAGAACAGACAATATAGGGTATAATCCAACCCATGCCCCTATTTACTGCTTGCCCATTTGTCTCCGCCTCCACTGGGGATCAAACCCGTTACCTCAGGACTACAAATCCGAAGCGCTGTCCACTTGACTGTCAGGCGCCCCATTCTTCCTACATCCTAGGTCTAGTACATATATGCACTATATTAAGCCTCATAGTATGTATTAGGCCTAGAATGGTTAGGTTAGGTTGTATTAGCAACATACAAACCCTATTTCAGTTTGTTCCAATTTAAATAAGTGAGCAGTAAAAAACTAGAGTAACTAGGTAAAAACTAGAATTGATTGGTATAAAATCTGGGTCAGGGAATGCAACTTTGGAGTACCTATACATAGCATGCCCATACTCCTGAAATTGTACATAAAATACAAAAATTGCAAAAAAACCTGCTGTCACAGACCCTAAATCTAGTTATCTAAACCTAAATCTCGAGCCTAGATACTGGAGTTATCCGACATTATTAAAAACAGCAGAGATTGGAGCACCTCACAAGGCAGAAAGTAAAGCCGATGCAAAACATCTTAAACCAATAGCTGAATAACAGAATATTAGTGTTAACAAAACAGAATCATGGTGTCTACAAACCCTGGGCAAAATGGGTTCAGGACAGGGCACTCCTACCCCTCATTTCCTAGACTACTGATATGGCCTTGGATGCCATGGAACACTTGCAAAATGCTGATGACATACTGACTTCACAAAAAGCTTTTGATAAATGTGGCCATAATATCATTGTACATAATGCACACAGGAATTACTGGCAAAATAGGGAAATGGATCTAACTTCCTAAAAAACAGAACCCAGAATGCAAGTCATAGTAAATTCTGGATCCGAGAAAAACACAAGTTCAAGGTACTGTGCGTGCATTAGTACATTCTCTCATCCTCATATCAGGATACAAACTATAGTACTGTATCATCCTTTGCAGATGACAATTTATAAGATTAGACAATTGGTCAAACAATTGGTAAGATCAGACACAGCAAACCTCTAATCAGATGTTAATAAGGTTTTTCAATGGACCACAGAAAATAACGTTTAACGATAAGTTCCAGTTACCGTGCTCTGGAAAGAGCAAAACACAAACCACACTTGAAAAGAAAAGCAATGTAAAAGATCAAGGAATAATCATGTCACAAGACCTAACTGTTGTGTACTAAAGTACACAGCAGTCACTGTCACAACTGCAAGAAAAATGGCAGGCTGGATAACAATAACCTTTCAAATAAATGCCAACCAATGATAATTCTCAAGACTAGTACTCTTTAAGAGTGGAATATTGTTGCACACAAACAGCCCTATTCAAAGCTGGAGAAATTGCTGACCTAGAGAGCATGCACAGATCTCTTACTGCTAAATCCACTTAAAATACCTTATTATTGGACTTGAAAAATATTAGGACTTGAAAATTATAAATTTATTTAACTTGAATTATATCTTTATTATTAAAGTGAGAAGATGGAATCAGGACATGGGGAAAAATGGGGATTCTCTAATACACGGGCAGTAATGATGGAAGGTTCAAGAATGGAAGGTCAGTTATCCATCCACCCCACCAATCTGGACCTATAAAATTTAGTAGTTCATCTCTTATAATTTAAATTACTGAATCAAGGTTAGGTAAAAAACTAAATTCTTAGCTTGTTTATTATTCATATCAGTGCTTTATTTCTTGTAACCACAGCTAGACCTCCTGCCACGAGCCCTTTCAAACTTGCGTCCCTTGCTGCGTACCAGAGGTTTGGTATGACTGTGAGGAAGACCTGGAGCAGGTCCAAATCTCTTGCATGCTTCACGAGCATTGCGTTTACCTGCACAAAAAATAAAAGTTTAGTCCTTTACCATACTGAAAGAGAATGATAGGCAAAAAATGAAAAATTACAATAGCCTGGTTGTCAAGCCAAGTAAAGATGAAAGCATGAACAAAATAATTGTGGTTTTACAAACTAACATTTTCACCAGGGGATATAGTAGTTTGAAAATACTGATTTTTCATACAATGCTTTTTTCAGTTAACTCTCAGTAGCCAACTAAATCAACAATATTTAACCTGGATAATCTGTTATTGAGCAGGGATATCAAAAAAGCAATTGTGCCTCACAGGAGAATTTGGCTTAGTCACCACTTATAACTCACCCTGAATTAGCAGTGTGTTTTTGCCCAAGGGAGAACGACGAGCGAGGATATCAAAAGTAATAATTTCTCCTCCAGCCTTCTCGATGCGAGCACGGGCACGAGCTGTTACTCGTAGTGCACATACCTGAAATGAAATGTCACATGAACAACAAAAATTGTCAATTTGCATAAATATAGGCAAAGACCTTCCTTCCTATAATTTAAAATTGGAATGCAGCATGTAACAGAAAAAAATCTGCATTTTTTATATTGATAATATATAAAATGCAGCAGTTTTGCATATCCAGAAGTCAGAACCTACACAACCCACAAAACCAAACAGAGCCAATAATCATTAGGCATATAAAGTGTCAATAGTGCAGTAAATTTAATTTTCCTAAACCCCCTAAATTTTGAATTGTGGAGACAATGGGTCACAACAATGTGGCTGAAGACACGATGACTAAACCACACATTAGGAAGCGAGTAAACAACAATGGTTATCAGTCAGTCCTGGGCCATTATCAAGTCATGAAATAGTGTGGAAGTGTGTTCAATAAGAGGACAGATTGCAGCCCTAGCCACCTTTATCCAAATGGACACACCATCACATTGCACACAATGGAAAAATATTATTTATCTTATGCAGGCGATGAGTCACAATAACGTGGCTGAAATATGTTGACCAGACCATACACTAGAAATTGAAGGGACGACGACGTTTCGGTCCGTCCTGGACCATACTCAAGTCAATCGACTTGGAGTATGGTCCAGGACGGACCGAAACGTCGTCGTCCCTTCAATTTCTAGTGTGTGGTCTGGTCAACATTATTTATCTTAACTTTTAATAAACTCATTTGTTCACCTAAAGAAAAATCACCAAGTAAATTCTTTTAAACATTCTTTTAAACTTAACAAAACCTTTGATTAAAAAAAGCTAGCAAATAATTTACAGAAATATATTATTCATCTTCCTAAATACCAAATGGAACAAACTGATCAAAGTATTTTCCTTTTTTCCTTGACAAACTGAATTTGTCAAGCAACTATGAACTTTTTCTTGTTAGTACAATTAATTTGATATTTAGAGGTTGAATAGAATACTGGTAATATGACAACTGTGTATCATATACTATATAGACTTTTACACTTTTCCTCTTATATTTACCATGCAAAAAAATTATGTAACAAAAAATAAATTACTGGTATTAACTATAAAATCTTTTCTTGTGTGTACATGGGTAGACTAAGAATATAAACCTGACAGCACACCACTAACACATTTTCAATATGAAAATCAATAACGAGCTTAACAGGCAGGTGTTAGCATTCTTATTATCCTAATTTTATGTAACAAATAAGGAGGTATAAAGAAGGCTTGCCAATTCTCCAAATACTTTAAATATTACCAAGCCATATGGTGTATAAAACATGTAGCATGTTTTATACACCATATGTTTTATACACTCTGCATAGTGTGATAATAGCAAAAACACTAAATTTTGCTGTCTAAAGAATAAGTGCAACCTTGATTCAATCAACTATATTTGACCAACCCCAATTTGTTACAAACTTGTTGCAAATTTGTGAACAAAAACCGGGAAATCTCAAAATGAAAAAAGATATAATTTAGTTTTAAATGTGCTCAATGGCTTTCCCAAAGACCCAACTCCTCATGTTGTACCCATCTACAAAAATCATTTAAAACATGATTGGAACCATATTAACACTTTCGCGCTCTCGGCGTTCAAAAAAAAAACAATACCCCAGATGCTTTCGGCACCTCCCGCGCCTACGCGGTAAGACCGAAAAAGTGTACACTCTTTTGACTGTCCTGACAATTGAAGGCGCACGTATTTAAATTTGGTATCACTGTGTTCGCAATGAAATTGTCTATAAGAGCATACCTATAAAATGCCACCCAAGCATAAGGAGTATCAACACCAAATAAAAAACTATGCAGATCACTCGCCGAGAGCGCCAAACAGCAACAAAATGTTTCCACTCTCTTAATAGTTGCGAAGCCTACAGTTGTCCTACATCGCTAATTTTGGTGTCATTGGAATCGCAATAAAATTCTCTACACGGACATATGCATATGAATGTTTAATATAGGTAATTGCCCACCCGCAAGAGTGTGAAGTGGAGAGTAGTTAGCCGCGAGCGCACTGGCGAAAACACAGGGGGGAAATCATGCTTGGAAAATTTTTACGTTTCCTGACCCTACTTTTCTATGTACGTATTTCTTTTTTATACCAATGTGTTCGCAATAAAATTTTCTATAAGATGAACTGTATAACATTTGTACAAAGCATGTGTAAGAGAAGCGCCAAATATAGAACCACGTCGCTCAGTATGCGTTCGCGGCAGAAACGAACGCATTGTTTTCGTTCGTTTGATGTTTGTCATGTTTATACTTGTTGAAACATTTTATAATTTGTATGACAGTGATCACAGTAAAATTCCCTACACAGACATATACATAACACATACAAATATTTCCCACGTGTTGGATATATCAACGGCTAAAGGGAACCCACTGCCACACGCTCGCCACACCCCCAAACATACTTTGTGTATTTTTTTTTTTTACTCATAGAAGTTTATGTGATATAATATTCATTCTGGTACCAAAAAATTCGCAAATAAATTCTCTACAAAACAAAAGTGTTAAAAAATGGAATTTATAGAAATATTTTTTCGATTGACGAGAAAAGTAGGCTGTTATGCGGAATCGTAAGAAAAAACAGCGACGAGTTATCTCTAATCTAAAGCGCGAAAGTGTTAAGAGGTACAATTCATTCCCCTAATGTTTCACATGCTTTATGGGCTATTTTACCGAGCAAAATTTAAATTTCAACCTGTCATAAGAAGGGCAGTTACAAAGTTAACTGATCTATAAAAAGATTTTAACCACATTAAGCATATTTCACATGCCCTTGCCTCAAAACAATTTTCAGAGGAAAACAGGCCATATTTTTGATCCATCCACAAAAATAATTAAAAAGTGAGTGGAGCCATATTAAGTTACCATTCATTCTCTAATATTTCCCACTATGTGCTGATTTCATTCATTTTTAACCTATGATATGATGGGCAAGTTTATCCACTAGTCTATGAACTCTGTCCCAACATCCACTTCAGCAAACAAGAGTGCATGGAATCAGGCAAATAAATCCAGCCTGGAAAGAGTATTTTAACTGGAGATTTGCTGAATCGAGGTTCCACTATTCACAGTGACTCACTGCCCATGACCTCCACAGGGATGCAACACCATCACAGGCTCTCTTCTCTTCACCACAACCAAAGCTATAATTATATATATTTTTTTTTTAACTTAGGTGCATCTTGTACACAGTAACATCCAGAAGACCACCACTGACACTGGTCTTCCTAACGTCCTGTACATTTTTTCTATCCCTTTTGTATAACTGAGCATGTTATAGAAACATGACAGCAAAGTTAAGGGACTGAAGAAACGTTTGATTTGGCAACTAAGTTTTACTGAAGATCACAATAAAAATTTCCCAGACACCATCTTTTAATTTGTTCCAATTCCCCTTAGGTTCTCGGGAATTTCTAATTTTTCTTTCCCTCCATTGCCTTCATGTTTGCCATCCAAACATTACACCATAATGCACTTCAATCCTTTAAAATCACCTTACATACTATTCTAAAATGTCTAAATCATTATAAAATCTTGTTTATAGATTTACATCCTGTATTTTTATATTTTACTCCCATTCCCTACTTTCACTACTTGCATTCTTAGTGCTCATATGTTATACTCAAATTCTATGTCAGTTGGAATATAACCAATCACAGGCAAGTAGGCCTCTGACGTCATGCCAGACAGAGGAACATCAGCCATGCTCCCAGCAGCCTCAGTTATCTCGACAGACCCAGAGAAGGTGGACCTCGGCTGGCCAGTTATACACCTGTTTGCCTCACTCAATAAATATATACAGAAGCGACTACTGTGTCTACATTCAACCCGAACAAGGCAAACGAATACATATATATACTGTGTATTGTGTATACACAAGCTTACTGTAAGTTTGGGGACGTTGAAGAGGCGCAGGTCATCAGTGACGGTGCCAACAACACACACAATCCTCCCCTGGCGGCCAGGCTTTCTTGCAAGTTGCACGAGGCGAGATAGAGAGAGAGGGGGGTGATGAATGCGTGACATGAACAATCTCTTCAGGATGACCTTGTTAAACTTGGAGTTGGTGCGGCGTGCCAAAAAGCGGTAGAGCTGGAAAAAAACAAATTATTAACTTTCTTCCAAGTACAAGCAAAAACCCAAAGTTTAACTTTCTAGCATTACAATAGTAAAATAATTAGTTATGACCAGATAAAAAGTTATACTAACCAACCCTAGCAAAATATAACTCGATAAGAACATTAGGATCCTCATTGAGGATCAAGGTGTTTCACCTAGACTCCTTTGAATGACATCTAAGCTAATAGTGGTGGTAAGGTGGACTGTAGTCAAGGTCAATCAGATAATAATCAGTCAATAAGATACAGGTACAGAGGTTGCAGGGTTACTTCAATCAAAATTTACCGGAAGCTATTAAAAGAACCTGGTACAGTATTAATTCCTTCTTACCTTTCCCTTTAATGTTCAATAAGTATACAATAGGAATTTATAATTTGCAAGTATTAGTCAGTCATGGATTATTATAAAAGACCCTTCAAAATTTCTACAGTGAATGCTTGTTGCTCATATCTTCAATGCTTCTAATTTAACCTCAAGATCAATACAAATTCCCAAGTAGTTTGTAGTTTTTGTTCCCAAATTTTGTTGGGGCTCCTAAACCTTCACGGTCCGACACTCCACCCGTCTGTGACCATCTCCAGAAATGTGTTCCTTTAAATGTTCTTATTCCCTTCACTAACTAGAACTGCATTTATCCATGCCAGTACCAACTGAACAATGAATGTACGTGTACAAGGTGACTGGTGTACACAAGATGTTATCAAATGAGCAGTTCACAGTGCATGGAGAAACTACATAAAGGATACTTTTGTCTTTCCTGTTTAAGGACTAAGTATCACTTTCAATTTTTATATGCCTTGCATTAGGATATACTTGTGTTTAGATCTGTTAGGATATATAGTTAGGGTAAATATATCCAAATGGGTGAAATTTAAAAAACTACTACTATCACCAAAGGCAGGCACAGAGATAAAAAAAAAGGTTCATCACGGTCTCTGCCTCAAAATGGACTGATAGTCACGGTCTTTTCAGAAGAAACGAAATGACTATCCTCAGTCCTTGCATTAAATTAAGTTAAATATTGATTAAAATATGCAATTGAGGACACTGTAAATCATTAATAATTAATTTTAGTAATTAAAGTTACACTCCAAATACAGTACAATATAATAAAAACAAAACTAGGAAAATATTTTAAGTTGACTGTTTAAGTTGCCCTTCATGACAAATAGCATATAAAAAAACAGCTGTCACTTTGCCCCGATATCTTCGGCTGGAGGACGTCTTTACCAAAAGAGAAGAGGGGATAACCACTTTATGGTAAAGTCCATCAATGGGCTGGAGAACAAGCCTATGTTGATTATGAGAACCCAAATAAAAAATGGAAGGTAACAGTTTTCTGCGGAGATTATACAGAACCCTACACTGATTTAAAATACAGTAACTATTGCATAATTTATTCCTGTATCAAATTGGAAACACAGAAATTTTGCAGTTTTCTTCCTAGTTTTTCAAAATAAAAATAATACAACCTAGGAACATCAGACCATCCAGAATTACATTAAAATGGAGTCAGTCCCCACTTCAGTCCTGCCCAGAAAAATTACCAACTTCCAATCGCAGTCATCCTAATGGACAGTTCCAGGAATTCGGTCCTGACCACCTTTGCATACTGTTACTGTATATAACATTCAAACAATTCTAAACATGAGTATATCTTAACAAGCCACTAAAATTAAAAGTGGTACAGCACAGTACTTGTACTTGCCTAGTTGTGCTTAGGGGAAAGGGTGAGTTAAGTTTCAGTTCTTTGGTCCCACTTGACAAGGAAACCACAACTGTCCACAAGTTATCTGCCCCATGAGGCACCTTGTACCATGACCTCAGCAGCTGCTCAGAGGTGTTACCTGTCCACCATCAAGCCACCTCTTCCTTTCTCTTCACCTGCATGTCTTCTTGAATGATGCTACGTATATTATCTTCAAATCAATAATTCTTTTTTTCACAACCTTACAAATTACTGTACAGGTCATGAGCTTAGCAAGGTCAGTTCTTCACATTATTATGCCTCCCTATAAACCTTGCAATCCACCCCATCATCACTTGCCTGGAATTCCTGTATTTCAAGACTGGCTGCAAACCTGCTTGCAGCATTTCTTATATCTGCACTGCAAATTGTTAGAACGGGCTCACCATAGCCCGTGCTACTTGGAACTTTTTGTTCCGGGTAGCGAATCTTAAACAACAACGCAAATTGTTACACCAGCTGTGCAAACCACCTTTACACAGCCTCATCCAACTGTACAGTGATGGCTTCTAAGTTTTTCTACTGCACCCTCTACCAGTGCCTGCACCCTCACTCTCTGGTTGCTATATATTTCATGTATTCATCTTTTTTGTCTTTATACAACAATACCAGCACCTATGCCAAATTCATTGGCAACACACACGCCCAAACTCCCATTTTCAGTTTTATAGCATTAACTTATCTTAAATTGTTAGCACAACCTCCTCCTGAACACCTCCAGAATGATTACTGCTGCTACCAGACAGACTTGGCAAAAAATTATCAAAGTTACTGTGAAAAAGTTATTTAAGAAAATGCTTCAGTAATGGTGCAGCACTGTGGTATAATGTGAAGGTCAAGAGCAGGTGGCTTGTTTAGCCTGACTAGGCCTGGACTGGTCCACTTGGGGCAGGCAGGTAGGCAGGCAAAAAAAAAAAAAAAAAAAATTTACAGGAAACTAGTCTTCAGGCTGTACAGTTTTCAAAATTTGTATTTATTATAACATTAGATATTTCATAGTTTTTACTGTATCTTGAGGTTATCTTAAGATGATTTCGGGGCTTTAGTGTCCCCGATTGGAGGCCCAGTCCTCGACCAGGCCTCCACCCCCAGGAAGCAGCCCGTGACAGCTGACTAACACCCAGGTACCTATATTACTGCTAGGTAACAGGGGCATAGGGTGAAAGAAACTGCCCATTGTTTCTCGCCGGCGCCCGGGATCGAACCCGGGACCACAGGATCACAAGTCCAGCGTCTTGTCCGCTCGGCCGACCAGCTCCCTGTGGTGAATTGTTCTTACATAATTCTTGGTTATTCTATGTAATACAGATCATAGGCCTCTCATCCCCCAGACAATCAAAACAGACTCTCCCTACCACAAAACCAACCACCCCAATACCTGCCATACCCCCACACCTTGAGCCACTGCTGTACAGGATTAATATGATATGGCCTGAAGCAAGTCTGGTATTAGGCAAAATCTTCTGTTTTCTCAATTTTTGTCTGGATATGGTGAAGTTGGCAGAAACTTATCCAAACTTGATTTCGACTGCAATATCCGGCAAAATCCCCCAGATTATCCGAACTGTTATACAGACATCGCAAAGTTTTGTCAGGAAAATATCCAGCCGCGATAACCCAAATACGCAGATCAGTGGGCTTCGGATAAGCAAGCTCATACGATAATGTTTTAACAAAACCTACTCGTGCCCGACCATGGCTTTTTTTCTTAGCCAGCCATTATAACCTAAAATACTTGGAATTATTTTTTGGTTATCACAATGTAATGGCCAAGATATGCCTTTAAAATACATTTTTTTAAAGTTCATCCCTAAAAATCTAAACCTTGACATTCTGACTCCTCAATCTTACCAAATCCACCCACCAAATCTCCTTCAAAATTAGGATGTCAAAGATCTGGTTCAATTGCTAGATCTTATTTCTAATTTTCTTGCTGAAATTGTAATTTTTATAGTTCCTCGACAACCAGAGTTGATAAAAAAATGCCAGAATTTTTTTTAAATTGGTTGAGACCGAAATCCCTGGATTATTGACTAGAACAAGTTTCCATAATACTTGAGAAAATATTGAGCACTTATGCTGTGTGTAGGAAAAGTTCAGTTTGAAAACAATCCTATGGGTAATTTTTATTTGACGAGGTAAGCTTTGCTCACTAAGAACTACATTGATGGTTACCCTTATCTCAAACGAGTTTAATACATTATTTTCTTGTAAAGGCTGCCATGAGAAACTTTGGACATAAAGTCAGACAGTTTCAGAAAAAAATGTATGATTAGTATTCATTTTTGATAAGACAAGATGCAATGTGCCATTCAATTTATGGTTAAATATGGATTAGAATAGGTACCAGTATTGTTAATATAAGTCTGCTCCTGCCCCACTATGGTCAAATATCTATGTTGCGAAGATATTTTTAAGATTCCAATGTCTTGCTTTTTTTACAGTAATATTATTCAATTGTGTATAATTTGATAGCTATACAATAAAATGTGTGGAATATCACTACTCAAAAATAGGATGCACATAATGACATTCTTATAAAAAATAATGACTTGCCATTGTTACACTGGCTATACTGTACACTAACTATACAATTACATACATACTACACATTCCATTCGTATACATACTACACATTCCATTCGTATACATACTACATTCCTGTACACTACAAAGCACTTAGCTGATATGAAGGACCCAAACATAAGCATAGTGTCGCCACGCTAGTCAGCCGATGCTGCCACCAGACCCCACTACTATGCCTCCAATACAACATGCCTATCACTAACCCTGGGCACAATGTTGCTATCAGCAGCAGCATCCTAGTCACTAAATCCTGAATATGAATAATCGTACACATTTATTTTCTAAAGGGGCACGAGGTCATTTCATGATGCGCAGATGCACCAAACATCTGATGCACCGTGATCACGGCTGTAAAGCTGTGATCACCATAAGCAGCATTGTGTTCATCGATACCTGAACATTGAACAGTCTTTATCGCAGTCGGGATCATCTGTGATACTATTATGGCAAAATAATGTTACAGTACTTGTATATTTCATCATCTTTAAGTGATGTTGTGGACACAAAGATGAACAGCAGTGATACCTGGTTGATGGGGTTCTGGGAGTTTTCTACTCCAAGCCCGGCCCGAGGCCAGGCTTGACTTGTGAGAGTTTGGTCCACCAGGCTGCAGCTTGGAGCGGCCCGCAGGCCCACATACCCACCACAGCCCGGTTGGTCCGGCACTCCTTGGAGGAATAAATCTAGTTTCCTCTTGAAAATGTCCACGGTTGTTCCGGCAATATTTCTTATGCTTGCTGGGAGGACGTTGAACAACCGCGGACCTCTGATGTTTATACAGTGTTCTCTGATTGTGCCTATGGCACCTCTGCTCTTCACTGGTTCTATTCTACATTTTCTTCCATATCGTTCACTCCAGTACGTTGCTCTTCAACTCACGCTGCATATGTCACCTTTGGTTGGTCAATCAGTACTAATGCCTTCACAAGCAACAACAATGTCCACGATTATTTTGTATCATTTTTTTTAACGACGCCCGTTTACTCGAGGCCTAAGAAAGCCAATGCGAGCTGCGTGTACCCGCTAAACTTTAGAATCTTATCAGCCAGTAGGCCTGCTACAGGCTGATTCTTATTTTTCCACGGTTATTTTTCAATTATTGAACAGATTTGTGGGGGTTAGGCAAGGTTTGATGTTAAAATCTGTCTGCACATTGTCTTTGGTACAAAGTGACATACTTCAGCTTAGGCAAAATCCACTTAAAAAACTTTACAAGTCAAATTGTGTTAACAGGTTAAATTACACAATGCTCTGTACTACAATTTTTGTTCGGTTAGATAACACTTATCTTGATCTACAATCATTCTCTCAAACTTTTTCACCACACGTGCAACCTCCCCCCCTCCCCAAACTCTAGGGGCCACACCATACACAATTAGCCTCACCAACGGCTATTAAAGCCTACCTAACTCTAGCAACCCGGAGAGACGAGGCACACCATAGCCCATGCTACTTGCCCCCCTCCTGTGCCAGCTAAGTCCACTATGGGCTCACCATAGCCCGTGCTACTTGGAACTTGTTCAGAGTAGCACCCTCAGCCCCTAACACAGCCTAGCATAACTGTCTAACCTTACAAAATCTAACCTAACACATATATACAAGGTCTGGACACTAGGAAAAACCTCCATGAACACGTCACAGGGACGTGGGAGTCCCCTCGTCCCTGGAGACACAACACACACACCATTTATACATGTAGGAGATATTTATACACCAGCTACAGTTATATTCAACGTAACAAATGCCAGCAGATCTTCCCAGCCATGCTTCACGTTCTCAAGACTTGCCTGGTAAACGTTCCTAATTAGATATTTATCCCAAGCATTCTCTACATCCTCCGGGATAGTTAAGGTTGAAAAGCAATATACTGTACACACAAAACCCCCGAAGCAACGAGGAATAAACACTAACCTTCACCAAAAGCCTCAGGTAAACATCCTGAGACTTGGGCTCCCGCCTGATGACTTTTCGGTCGTGTTTGTGGGAGATATCCTTACCCTGAAATTAAATAACTATTTAGTATGGGCACTCCGAGACCTGCGTTACCATATAGCACTAATGACAGCATCTCAACATAACGGATGAAGATGAGGGAGAGAGATTAAAAGCCGGGAGCAGCGTCCCATCACCCACCATGGCGACCCGAGGTTGTGAAGGAAGGAGCAGCCCGCCGGCCGCGCACCTTCCACAACACTCATATTCATAACATACTTCTAACTTTTATTTACATCGTATTTTTAGTTTATTCTAAGACCTAATTTATGTTAATAATTATATTTATATTTATAAATTGTTGTTACTCTATTCTGCTGACTGTATATACATTTAAAAGATGTATGCTCCTAATTTCTGAAATCCAAGTCATAATAATGGTAAATTTATTAAATAAATAGAATTTTGTTTATATATAAACAATATAGAAGGGAGTACCACTTCTGGCTGGAATAGGGGGGACCCTTAACCTCGGAGATAGGCACACATAACACATTGGAGGTGATTTTGGGGTCCCCTCCAATACAGTTTCTATGTTCTTTTGTATATACAATATATATACTTGAAGGCCACTAACATTTTAGTGGCCTCGATGAAGACAGGAAGCCGGCGGCTTATCAAATGTCCCACATTTGACATGATAATTTTTTCAAGCTGGATTTTAAAGTTCAGCAGAATTTTGGCATGTACAACTTCGGCGGGTAGGCAGTTCCAAGAGTTTATTACCCTGTGAAAGAGCATTTCCTATTTTCAGCCCTACACTGTGGCTTGTTGAGCTTGAAACCATTACCCCCCTTGTCTGCGTTGCATCTGGCCTTTTGAAGGAGTTGTCCGGATCAACATCCTTCATATTGTTCAGTATTATGAGCGTTTCAATGAGATCAGCCCTATCGTGTCTGGTTTGCAATGTTGTTAGCCCTATGGCCCTTAACCTGTCCTGGTATGAGAGTTGACTTAGTTGTGGAAGTATTTCTGTTGCTCGGTGTTGAACTTTCTCCAATGAAACTATGTCTTTCTGAAGATGCCTGGCTGCAATAATATCAAGGTGGGGGCTCACCAGATATTTATACAATTATAATAACTGCACATACATTTATGTAATGATATAACTGCACGTGCAATCAAGAAGAATATATATATATATATATATATTTATATATATAAGGACAAACAGAGGTCCAGGCACCGCCGGGTACCTGGACCGAAGATGTATAAATGCCAATTGACATTACTAGTTTAGTTTAGTTCATCTATTATGCACTCCATACCCATCCTATGAGCAGTAATGCACCCCATACTCATCCTGTGGGCAGTAATGCACCCCATACCCATCCTGTGGGCAGTAATGCACCCCATACCTATCCTGTGGGCAGTAATGCACCCCATACCCATACCATATATATAATAGATAATGTGCCATGAATTTGATGGAAAGGAATTGTATCCGAATGGATAGATATAGATATATACCATAGATATACAATATATATTAAAATAGATCTTAGTGTCATAAGATCAGTAGTACATTATACAATACAACGACATTATACAATAAAATACAACGACAGTAGTAGGATCCAAAGCCTGTACTGGCATAAATATTATGACGTCATAGTGACGTCACATACCTCGTGTACACCCTATACAAAAACCCAACATTTGATTTCCTATTTTCGTTAGGCTAGGTTAGGCTTGATTGGATTGGGGAAGGTATAGATTGGATTAGGTTATGTTGGGTTAGGTTGGGATAGGATATATTGGATTAGGTTATGTTGGGTTTCGCTGCCCGAAACGCTGCGCGTACTAGTGGCTTTACAAGAATGTAATTACTATCCTATGTATCCTCACAATCCCAATGTACCGTCTTGTATATATATAAATAAAAATAAAATAAATAAAGGTTAAGGCGATGACGTAGGTGGTTACATGCTTTTCTCATGTAGCTTTATATATATATATATGTTGTGTTGATTTAGGGGCGAGCTATATATATATATATATATATATATATATATATATATATATATATATATATATATATATATATATACACAAGTCACAAACAAATACATTTTATATAGCTTCTCTGAGATGGACAATATAAATAGCAATTTATTATAAATTCAAAATTCAAAATTAATTTATAAAAATACATCCAGTTATACAAAAAGTAAATAATAGAGGCATCTAGTAGTTAATTATACATAACATAACCCTGAGTTAAGGTTGTTCCAGGTACTAGTGTGGAGGCAGCGGCCAGCACCCAGCATTACATATTTGACATTATTTCTCTCTTGTGACAGCTTGTCATCAGTTATTTCACCCTGAGGCGAGGTCAGTAGGAACTTTCTTACTCTGTCTTTCTATTATTTCCTCCAGTTAATGTTTTGTTTTGTGGTATATGAATGTGAACATACACACGAGGGTGTGATTGAATATTGAACCAAATCCTGATTTACACACGTTTTTTTAGTCATTAAGCGCTGCCCTGCTCTACTCTACCCTGTCCTACTCTATGCTACTTTACTTTACCCTACCCTACCCCCACTCCACCCTACTCTACCGTACTCTACCCTACCCTACCCTACCCTACCCTACCCTATCCTACCCTACCCTACCCTACCCTACCCTACCCTACCCTACCCTACCCTACCCTACCCTACCCTACCTGGGGAGCCGGTCGGCCGAGCGGACAGCACACTGGACTTTTGATCCTGTGGTCCCGGGTTCGATCCCGGGCGCCAGCGTGAAACAATGGACAGAGTTTCTTTCACCCTATGCCCCTGTTACCTAGCAGTAAAATAGGTACCTGGGTGTTAGTCAGCTGTCACGGGCTGCTTCCTGGGGGTGGAGGCCTGGTCGAGGACCGGGCCGTGGGGAGGTTATCTTGAGGTTATCTTGAGATGATTTCGGGGCTTTAGTGTCCCCGCGGCCCGGTCCTAGACCAGGCCTCCACTCCCAAGAAGCAGCCCGTGACAGCTGACTAACTCCCAGGTACCTATTTACTGCTAGGTAACAGGGGCATTCAGGGTGAAAGAAACTTTGCCCATTTGTTTCTGCCTCGTGCGGGAATCGAACCCGCGCCACAGAATTACGAGTCCTGCGCGCTATCCACTAGGCTACGAGGCCCCACTGGGGACACTAAAGCCCCGAAATCATCTCAAGATAACCTAACCTACCCTACCCTACTCTACCATACCATACCCAAGGGGTTATCAATATGCTGGCAACATGACCATGTCAATACCACTCTTTGGATACTGGGTAAAAAAAATTTTTTGCTTAAAATCTATATGACTTGTACAGCACAGTAACCACTACAGTAGGGTTACAACAGAAAGGGTTGTGTGTTTGGCTTGCACTGAAGGACTAGAGCTGTTTGGGCTCATAATCTTTCATCTAACTTTCTAACTAACATCTATCTTTCTAACTTTCTAACTTCTAACATCTAACTAACATCTTTCATCTAACGATGAACTTTCATTGTTCATCTTTCATCTATCTTTTTCTGCCCGAAACGCTGCGCGTACTAGTGGCTTTACAAGACTGTAATTACCATATTATGTATCCTCACATTCCCAATGTACCTTCTTGTATATGCATAAATAAATAAATAAATAAATAAATAAATCTGTTGCCTTTGTTCACCCAGCGGTAAATAGGTCCGTGGGAGCTAACCAACTGGTGTGGGTTGCATCCTGAGACCTTTGATATACCTGGTAATCTACCTGTCCCCGACTATGAACAATCACATGTCCTGTATCCAATTTAGGCTGTACCTTACTAGCATATATCTTAGTAACAGTTTCCTATGGATCTGTATCCATGAACTGTACTGTAACACAGGACCCGATGAGCATGTATCCATGTTCTGCAACACTGAACCCTATAGTCCTTTATCCAAATACTATAACCCAGGACCCTATGGTCCTATATCCAAGTACTATAACAGAAAATCCTATTGGCCTGGTTACCTTGCGATGATCTTGGGGCTTAGTGTCCTCCAGGCCCGGCCCTCGACTAAGCCTCCAAAATACAGCCTATATCTAAGTATTGTAACACAAAACCCTGTGGGCCTGTATCCAGGTATTGTAACAGTGAACCCTATGAGCCTGTGCTCATGGAATGTAACACAGTCCTATTGTACTGTATGTATCTAATAAATCCAGTATCCTATCGATCTTTATCCAAGTGCCAGAACAGAACCCTATGTGCCTATATCCAATTACAGTACAGTACTGCACTACCATATGGGCCTTTATCCAAATAACTGAACACTTTGAGCTAATTGGCCTATCAAAATAATTAATTAATTTGGGCCTATATCCACAGTCCTTTGGTTAGACAAAGATTCATTAATAAGATGATTCACTACCAATAGATATGGTCTATTCATCAAGAATGGACCATATCTATTGGTAGTGAATCATCTGAATATCTATTGGTAGCAGAACTCTAATATATTTATTCTGTGATAAAACTGTATTTAAATACTGAATATAATAAGAGGCATATTAAATATTAATATTAAATGTTGTTTTTTCTTCAGGTGGTCTCAGTTTTTGCTGTGAACAAGAAGACATGAATACTTTTGCTAAGAATACCACGCACTGTACCTCTTGTCAAGTTGGCATTCAACATTTCTTGTTGATAATTTGGGAGACGGATAATATGCAACAAGCATTTGTCAGTGTAATGACACGACATAGTGGAACATGACGCAGGTGGTGTTTTGAGTTTGGCATCGTGCATGAAGCTGGTTTGTTTTGGCATCGTGCATGAAGTTGGTTTGTTTTGGCATCGTGCATGAAGTTGGTTTGTTTTGGCATCGTGCATGAAGTTGGTTTGTTTTGGCATCGTGCATGAAGTTGGTTTGTTTTGGCATCGTGCATGAAGTTGGTTTGTTTTGGCATCGTGCATGAAGTTGGTTTGGTTTGGCATCGTGCATGAAGTTGGTTTGGTTTGGCATCGTGCATGAAGTTGGCTTAGGTTGGTTTGACATCGCGCATAGATCTGCTTTGGTTTGGCATCACGCATAGAGCTGCTTTGGTTTGGCATCACGCATAGAGCTGCTTTGGTTTGGCATCACGCATAGAGCTGCTTTGTTGGTTTGGCATCACGCATAGAGCTGCTTTGGTTTGGCATCGCGCATAGAGCTGCTTTGTTGGTTTGGCATCACGCATAGAGCTGCTTTGGTTTGGCATCATGCATTTACGTTTGAATCAAAGAATATAGAAAACTGTCGAAAGCCTATTGGCCTATGTAAGGCAACCAAACTTGCTCATACATTTTTTACCTATGCTTGAAACAATCCAATGATCCCCTGTCTATTATGTTACTTGATAATTTATTATAATTCATATACTATACAATTATAAAATTACTTGAGAATTATATTTAAATCAAGAACTGTTTTCAAACCAATATTTATCCAGGTTTTTTCTGAATTTAATCTTATCCAATTTAAGGTTTAAGCCTAGAAAAAGCATTAACAAATCTTAAAATAATAATGATTACATAAAATAATGATAAATAACATAGGATTAGGAATGGAAAATCATAAAATGTTTGCCTAAGGTTCCATCTTCCCAGTACCCTCTTGTCATATGTGACTCTTTGAAACTACTGATGGTTTTGGCCTCCACCACTTACTTCACTTAACTTTTGTTTCTTTTTATTATTATATTATTAAAATATGTACAAATAAAACAAAAGCAATCAAAGCACCCTTCCAAGCACACAGAACATACTATAGAATGCCAGCATAATTCAAGCTCACGCTTAACACACTTTTGTTTATGACAAAAAGGGTTGGTGTCAAGATGGAACCTGGAACCCCACTCAAAAAGATTTGAAAAATTGAAAAATTATCTTTACCAGAATTTACAATAATTTTTAACATGGTTACCAATTTTCATTACAGTATTAACCTAAAGGGTACCATCTCTAGTGGCCTTGACGAAAACAGGTAGGTGGCATATTGTCAAAACTCCACCATATTCCTGAGGATTTTTTTCCACCAGAATTTTAAACTTCAGTAATGTCTTGGCACATACAGTTTTGATGGATACGTAATTCCATGGGTTTATTACCCTATGGGTAATAAACCCATGGAATATAGGGAATGTCAGGTAGCTAATGATTTCATGAATTTTCCCAATACAGCAAATAATTGCCAGAGGTCTCTGGAATTGAATGACAACCAAATAGAATATTTAGAAGCTTTGAATATTAAGAGGCACATTAAATTGTTCACGTATGACAGGAGGACCATGTTTCCATTCATTTGAGAATGGTAGGATCAGTTTAATGGTTCAAACAAATAATGTTTAATCAAAGAATGCCTACTAAAATGCTAATTATAACATAATTACAAATTTATGCTTTAAGTGATATAAAATGTGTTTTCAGGTGATGATGGATACACATCAGGCAAATAATGAGAACTGTGATCAAGACTTAATTTATCCTCCTGTTCAACTTACTACGGCCATTAATATGAGGTGTGTATGTTGCTTTCTATGTGGTTATTGAACCTTAATGTGGTACAGTGGTCGAGTCTCTGGCATGGTCCATTATAGATCGTTCCCTTTGAGCCTGCCCTTGTTCGGTCATTGTGGGTTGGTAGGACTCGGGCATGGTCGAGATGGCCTTGTCCTTTCAGTTGGTGTCCTGTTTGGTGGACCTTTGGTACATTCCAAATGTACATCCTTCGTTTCATAAAACCAATGAAATGTCAAGCTATGAATTGCTACCTGTAACTGGTAAGGAATTCCTCTACTGTATATAAATGATAGGTAAGCAATATGACAGACATTTGACATAAGTCAGGGGTTGTAAGACTAAATTCATTGCTCACTCAGATCCAGGGAAAGTTGCTAATGAGTTAGTAGATAAATGGGCAAGTGCTGCTGGTATGGAGTCCTTACCTGCAGACACGAGAGTCACCATTGAGTCATGGGAAAATATTAGAAATGGAGTAACTTTATGTGCCTTAAATACAAGATCTATAGCATGCACTGAGATAACCCACGATGAGCTACTGGATGCTATAAAAAGTGGCAGCTCCACTGCTCCGGGAAAAGATGGAGTAACGTATGACATACTTAATTATTTAGCCGGTATGAAACCTAATCCCTTACTTGATTTGTTTAATATGAGTTATAGAGAGGGAAAGTTACCAAGAAAATGGAAAGAGGCTGTCATCATTCCTATCCCTAAGTCAAACGGAGGCTACAGACCTGTCTCCTTAATATCCTGCTTTTGTAAAATGATGGAAAGGATTTTGTTAAATAGGCTACTCTACCTTGTAGGTGATAACATGTCCAATAATCTCTTTGGTTTTATCAAAGGCAAAAGTACTGCGGATTGTCTCTTAAAGTGTTTGTCTAATGTAGATGACAATTGTAGAGTTTTTGTTGATCTACAAGGAGCGTTTGATAAAGCCAATGGGGAAGTAATCTTATACGAATTAGCCAATCTGGGAATAACAGGGAGATTGCTACACTGGATAAGGGATTACCTGCAAGGCAGAAAAGGTCAGGTGTATTACCAGGGATACATGTCTGAGGAACGGAGGTTTCAGTTAGGTACCCCACAAGGGGGAGTATTAAGTCCCACCTTATTCAATGTATTAATGAACAGATTAGCATCAGAGATGTATCCTCCAGGGGTCACGACGATCATATATGCTGATGACATTCTTATACAAGGCACTTCTGGGAACAAAATTCAAGATGCTCTTAACATACTTGGTACAACCTGTCACAAGTTAGGCTTAGTTATAAATGCAGATAAAACCAAATACGAGTATAGGAAACGAAGAAATATAACACTTACTCTAAATGGTGTGGAACTGAGCCGTGTACAGAAGTACAAGTATCTGGGCATGTATGTTGGATACACATGTGAGAGTAAAAATGCTGAAATAAATCATATCAGCACCTTATGTAAAGCCCGTCTGCATCCTCTAAAAGCACTGGCTTTTTCTGGTAAAGGTGTTGGGGTACCTATCTTGCGGATGTTATACATAAGCACTGTTCGATCCCTGATAGACTACGCAGCACCCGTATTGTCTTACACAGGCCAAGGCAGAATTCAAAAAATAGAGCTGATACAGAACGAGGCTATGAGGATTATTCTTGGATGTCAAAGAAATGCAATGATTGAAATAATGAGAATGGAATTAAATTTACAGAGTGTGTGTGATAGAGTCCGTGACATTAACACTAGAGTATCTATTCGTTTCATGCGGAGAAAAGGAGGGGATAAGCTGTTTGAGAGCGTTCAGACCTGCTTGAGTGACGTACACACTTCCAGGAAACTGAGGGAGACTCGCTATACGAGAGGATTAGCTCATGACCTCAGGGAATACGACGTACTTGACTGCTGTAAACCCTCTCGAAAGTGTAATATGTCTGCTCCCTGGAAAGTACAGAAAATAGACGTCGAAATTGTACCCCTCAAGGTGAAAAAGATTCATCATGAACCGGGACAATTACGGTGTTTGTATGGAAGCATGATATCTCGGTTACCAAGAGGCAACAGTTTACATGTATATTGCGACGGGTCGGTGGCGGAGGATGGCAGGGCAGGGTGTGGTGTCCTAATAAGGGATTATACGGAGTTTGGGACTGTGGACAGGATAATTGAACTCCGGCTTAGTAATTATATATCATCCACACAAGCTGAACTGCAGGCCATTCTGGCGTGTTTGGAGGAAGTACGTCATGACGACAAAAATGTTTTTGTATTTGTCGATAGCCGAGGAGCACTGGAGTCCTTAAACAGTAGAAACCCAGTCTTCATGTCTATAGTGGAGGACTGTAAGAGAAGAATAACTGAGATACAGCTGAAAGGTTATAGTGTGAAATTCATGTGGATTCCATCTCATGTTGGAATAGTGCTCAACGAGGTGGCGGATGACTTGGCCAAACGTGCCACATCAAAACCACAAGTTGACATTGAATGTGAATTCACAATGAGACAAATAAGAAGCAAAATCAGAAATATTCAGGCACAGGCGGGAGTGGAGAGGAGAGAGATAATGTATGAGAGTAGTCAAACCATGCAACACTACATGTATGTGAGTCAAAACACCCATTTCACTTATGGTAAAAGGAGAAATGCTTGGAGTGACTCTGTGTACATGCGGCTCAGGCTTGGGTACAAATATTACTGGGAATATGGGATAGATGTTCATGGTAATGACACGAAGTGTAAACTATGTGGTATGTTAAGGTCTCACACCCTTGCCCATTATATTCTTGATTGTCCGTTGATTAGTGTATATAGAAACACTGAGATAAGGACTGTTCCTGAACAAATAGCCTGGATGTGTCACAACGGAAAGGTTGATGATATTCTTGAGAGATATAAGAATTTTGCACCAAGATTGTAATATTTTGTTGAATTATCTGCAGGTGTCTTGCAAATTGTCTATACAGTATACCTAGGTCATAAAAGTATTTGTGTGTACGTCTGATACCATACTCCTTGTGAGGGAGGAAATGTATATTTTTACCTCTCAGAATGTTTGGTAATATGTTTATTTGTGATGTGTGTATATGTATATATTAACACGTTGTACTGAACGGGGTGAGAATAGCTTGAGCTACCTCATCCCTTTGTGTGTATTTTACCTCAATAAACTTATTTCAATTTCAATTTCAATTTCAATTGACATTTGATTTTTTCAAATGCATAATTAAGCATTAATTAATTTATTTATTGATATATACTGTATATGGATTTTCTAGGGGGGGGGAGCCCTTTGAGGCTCCCTGAAGCTATTACACTAATTCATTGCTATACTACATTACTTGCTGCCATCAGTCACTGGGCTGTTTTTTTATGATTTTACCTCCTGTCTCGCATGTCGGCAAGCCGTGCTCGCTCATTCTTTGGACTCGGCATCAGCCCCTAGATCTCCCTTTTGCCTTCCCCATTTGTATGTCGTTGTTTCCCGAGGACATTTTTTCTCTTTTTTTGTCGGCTATGGCTGTTGGTGGCCATCCAATCGCTGCCTTGTGTGTTAGTGGGGGTCGGTCTTGCCTTTCCAGGAGTTTTGGTTGGACCAAGGTGTTGCCTGCTTTTATAGGCCGGCAGTTGGTGCCGGCCCTTTCGTGGGTTGCCCCTTTGAAGGGGTAGTGGCGCTTGGATGAGTCTCTGGACCTCCAGGACGTGTAATGGCACATCCTTATCCACCTGAGGTTTGGGGATTGGTTCGGTTTTGTGGTGAGGCGTCAGGCTTGCCACTTTTGGGTCCTCCTGTTTGGGCTGAATCTGGCACCTTGCATTTTTGTGCATTTTACTCGGGGTCGTGGTGGTCTGTCTTAGTTTGTTAGGCGTTTGGGTGTTGGCCTGTCTCGACGACTGGCTGGTGTGGGCTTCCAGCTGGTATGTTTGTCTGCTAGCCAGGAATCTAGTTCATTCCTAGCTCACTGGGTTTGGGTTCCTGGTGAACTGGTGGAAGCCCCAGTTGGTTCTGTCCTGGGTTCAGACCTGGTTGGGCCTGACTTGGGTTTCTCAGTTGGCGTCGCTTTCCTACATCCTGTGACCTTGCTCCGGCTGCAGTGCTGCCATCTTGTGGTGGTGAGGGGGAGCCGAGTTACTTGATGGTTGCTCAAGCATTTGTGCATTTGCCTGCCTTTTGCCATTTGGGTTTACCCATTTGGTGGGGTTTGGTTTCAGGGGCTGTTCTGGTTTCTTCGGGGCAGTCCCCTTTTTGCCTTTCTCGCGATCTTTGAGTGCAGACTCCAAGGGCCTGATGCAGCAGCCAGAGGCTCTGGCTTCTGCATCTCCAGCCTACCCTTGGGATTTTTTGGGATTTGGTTCTCTGGCACCTTCCTCCGCCTTCACTTTACATCTCCCTTCGTCTGGCAAGCTGAATAGTTTGGGTGTTTGTGGCTGTGACAGACACAAAGGTGGGTTTAGATTTCTCTGGGCTGTGTCATTCACGTTATAGGTGTGTCTGACGTCCTGGCTGCCAGTCTGTCCAGGTTTCTTCCTGGTTCCATGGTATGGACAGTTGACACTGCTCCCTCTGGTTTTGCTGGACGTTTGGACGCCTAAATGTTGACCTCTTTGCATCAGCATGGTTTTGGTTTTTGCCTCCTTGCGCAGTGTTGTTCCCTGACTGGACTGGACTGCTGGTTGTCTGCAGGTTGAATGCACTGGACTACGGGCGAGGCCTAGCGGTCACCTAGTGGAAAGGTTACCCTAGGCCTTGCAGTAACCTTTCAGCTGGTCTAGTAGAGTTGATTAACTTTAAATGTAAAGTGTTCATATGCCACTGCTCCCTGTGCCTCTCTGAGGGGTCCAGGCTCTGGCTTGTGGTCCCTGGTAGGCCAATAAGAACACCGCTATTGATGGCACCTAGTAGTATTGCACTGAATCAGTGTAATAGCTTCAGGGAGCTTTCGGGGCTCACCTAGAAATTGGCGTTTCATTACATTCAATGCTGGTTTTCTGTTTTTAGGGATTTATACTCAAAGACGGGAGCACTATTTGAGATCTCAGAACAACAGGAAGCTCCTAAAGATTGTACAGAGGATGAAGGGAGTTTTTTTGATGACGAGTCTCTCATCAACAGCCTCAGTATTGGTGCTGGCAATGCAGTGTTCGATGATGATGCCTCTGGTGAGTAACAGTATCTGCTCTACTTGTTTAATAATGATGAACTTTAAGATATGTCATTTGAACATGTAGTTTATATGTATCCTAGTTAATTTCTAGCATTCATGACCATTAGTCATTGTCATACATAACATGCCAAGAATTTCACTGTTTTATTAGATAAAACGATGAAACATGCTAAGCAAGATCCCTGGGTAAAACATTGAGACAGCATCAACTTATGATGCATGACAGGTTGTATTTATAATAGTGATCTTAATGGAAGGATAGGAACAGATAGGTTGTATAAGAAATCAGATTCTAAGCTCTTAAATGAGATCTAAATGGGGCTTGTTTAGTTTTAAACCTTGTGCTCGTTTTATTTAAATTTTGAAAGTGGAAGAGTTACTTTAAATGGAGGTTACAGTTATATACCAACATACAGTATTGTAAAATATATTTGGTACGATATTATTGAAACATTTCTGTAGTGCTGAATGCCTAACTTAATACTCGATGCGAACTGATGGAAAACTGATATTACTGTACCTTGTGTCTTTTTAAAACTAGTGCATCAGTTTTTTTTTTTAGCTGGGATTGAATTAAAGCTGATCAGTGTAAAATTTAATATATAACTAGTCTACCAAAGAGACATGAAAAGGTATCTCTCAAATGTACTTAATTTGAATTTGAACTTTATTAAAATTTTCAAGCAAAAATGTTCATATTTCTTGATTGTTTATAGGTTCAGATGATGAAGCAGAACCATTTGAAAAGCTTGCCAAGAAAATGGTGGCTCTCATAGAGGACGGTGGTGTTTTAAAAATGGTAACTAGACTAATCTGAAGTCAGTATAATTACTATTGAACTATTGAAAGAACCTCTTTATCACATTTTATTTATTTCATATTTTAAGACTTTTCACTATGAGATTATTTGACTTTTATTTTAATAATAATAATAACAAATATTGTGGTAACTAATTGTTTGCTAGTTTTGACCTTCCTCCGTATTTATTGCCTTGAGGTGGGCCTGTCAGTGGCTTCCCTGAGCTAAAAGCTCCCATTCAGAAGAGCAATAATCAGGCTTAATGACTTTCGTAGGCCTTCTGATAGCACAGAACCAGAATCTGGCTCCCTCGCAGACGAGCAAAGCATAGGGATCAGAGTCAACCTGCTACCAATTGTGAACCACACAGGAAGTTAAAAGCATTTTGAAGCAAACCATCATATGTAGAGAAAGGTAGTTGAAAAATGAATGAAACAAGAGAATGGTAATTGTTTGCAATGGATATTACCTTTTCCCAATGCCTCCAACTGGATTTGCCTCCATTCTGCAAGTTCCCACATTCTTGTCTTATTTCTTGACTTCAGTTCCTCTGCCTCTTCCTGGTTGGGAGACAAGCAGTTGTCCTCTTTGGAGAAATGGCAACAATATCATTGGACTCGATTTTGTAGTGGAAGAAGACCTCCCCAATTTTGTGTTTTTCTGTGAAATGTGCTGTATGAATTTATCAACTGTGCCCTATTTGCCCCTGCCCTTCCACATTGATGTGTGGGGGGGGGGGGGCATGACAGCTCGTAAGGTAGTGACAGCTTTGTTTTCAGTGGACTTGAAAGCTTGGATCCACCTAGTGGAGATTCTCCACTTGGGTTAGGCTAGGGAATTTCTTTTTTTGCTTGTAATTGAAATTAGAGTACTTTCTTTGTGAATTTCAATCCAGCCTTGTTGACACCAACTGCTTCAGATTCTCTGCTAAATTTAACGACATACAGTACATGGTTCTCCAAAATGTGGCTGCTGATTTCTGTGCATCTTGCTAGGCTTGCCGCAAGCTTGTACTAGGTCATCCAATTTTTTTATATTATGTTTTACTTACAGAAAAGCCATTATCTTGTAAGATTGTTCAGAGAGGCACTGGAGAATCCAACAGAACAAAAAGGCATTAAATGCAGTGGAATGCCAATATGTATGGGGGTCTCTTGGTGGCTTCCAACTGTCCAGTCATTCCATTCTGTCCTGTGGGGTTGGGGTTAGGCTTTTGTTGCATGTGAGTAAATGGGGAGTGGATATTAAATCCCCTGTGACCTGGGTTGTCACCTGGTGATTTTCAGAGGAGTTGGGGCATAGGTTTTACCCATTGCGAGCTGTTGGTTACCATGATCTCAATTTGTTCTTGTCGTTTTTCACAAGTGTTGGTTTGTTTGGTAACAGGTTGATTTCTAATCATTATACTCTCCTCCATTTTAAGAAGTTAGATTCTGGTCATGTGCACCCAGTAGAACAGCAAAGGCCTTTCTGAATAGTGCCATCGGCTAAGAGAAGCCAGTGAGGACTCCTCACAGAAAGTGGCATTACATTACATTTAACGCTCTATTTTTGTGGCAGGAAGTGCGTCCAGGTATTGGGGGAGATATCCCTAGTGGGGCTTCTGTCACATTCCACTACAGTTCCTATCTTCAGTACTGTGATGAGCCGTTTGACTCGACTTATCTTCGCAACAAACCAGAGAAGAAGATTGTTGACAGTGGACAACTGCTGGCAGGGCTCAACATTGCCATTAAGAGCATGAGGAAGAATGAGACGGCAAGATTCCTTGTAAAGCCAGAGTATGCTTATGGAAAGGTAATAATTTACGCCACTTTAATTTTGTCAGCTTTTGATGACACACTCGTGCTCTGTGATTTTGTGGTGTCACCCTTCAAGTTGTTTTGAGTCTAGATTCTAGAAGCTCTGCAGATTGCCACAAAAGGATGCTTATATTTATCCTGTGATTGTTTAGCTGTTATACAGGTATTACTTTTTCATGTAAATGTTTACAAATAAATTCACTCATTCTTTGGAGGACATAAGTTGTTCTCTTCAAGAGATGCCTCTAGAAGTGAATTGGAGTTGAAATCATTTCAAGTTTGCCCTGTCTTGTAGTTTTTTATTTGTTTGCTTTGCATGTAATCATTTATGAATGATTGTTATAGTGATATTGAAATAATTTTACCTTCACAACAGCAAGCTAGTCAGTCTTGAAGTATTTACATATATTTTATGATTATACAGCTTTTTATTGTATGTTATCTTTGCTTTACTTGTAAAGATTTCTAAATAATTGCTATAATATATGGTAAAAATGCAAATCAGTACAGTATGCCGATCTTTAAGAACGGGGATAGGTAGGGAGCCCTGAGCAAGAGAGATCAGATTGAAGAGGCATACCTAGTAGAGTCCCTGTAAACTTGGTCCTAGGTTCATTGCTATTCCCAATCTATGGTAATCTCTGGAAGGTGGGGGGGGGGGGCAACTTCACTAAGGGGTAATATTTACCAACGATGCAAAATTTATGAGGAGAGTACAAACATAAATATGATTTCCTTGTGCATCTGAAGGGTGCATTGGTGGAAGAACTCCTATACAATACCCATGTGTGCATGGTATTGTGTAAAAACTTGATTTGGAACAGTATCAGCTTGATGCCTCAAGATCCCTAATGAATTCAATTGAATCACAGGTTACATTACTTATTGTGATTCAGTAACTAGCCAAGTGTAGTTGCAGAATGAAAGCTATGCTCATGGGTTCCGTCTTCCTAGTACTGTTTGATTTGATTTGGGCACCATACAACTGCTGCATATTCCAATTTTGGTCTCAAAAAGTCCTAAAACAGATTCTTTGGTATTTCACCATCCATGTACTGTAATTAAAAGTCTGAAGTTAGATAGCGATGCATTCGCTCCTTCCACAATGTTCATTATGTGTTCCTCTGGTGACAATTTACTATTCAAAAACCACCCCTAGATCTCGTTCTGTATTAGAGTTCTGTAATGTCTTTCCACATAATTTGTAAGTTGTGTGTAGTTTATTTTCTCCGATTCCACATTCCATAACATGGCATTTTTCACGTTGAATTCCATTTGCCACATGTCGCTCCAAGCACTTATTTTTTCCAGATCAATTTGAAGGGCATGACAATCATCTGCATCTCCTATCTTCCCCAGTATCTTAGCATCATCTGCAAACATATTCATATAATTCTGAATTCCTTCTGGTAGATCACTTATGTAGACAATAAACATTACTGGTGCAAGAATGGAACCCTGAACCCTGTGGTAATCCACTAGTAATACTCCTCCAGTTAGATACATTGCCTCTGATTATTGCCCTCATCTGTCAGTTAGAAAATTTTTCATCCATGTCACTGGTTTAAGGCGTGAGCCTGGGAGTATCCATGTTGCTGGTTGCTGAGCCCCCGTACAGCTCCAATTGATTTAGTAACAGTTCATTAATATTCACATTAAGAGCAAAATACAGGTTTGGGTGGGTCTCATGGCAGAGTGGACAGCGCTTAGGGGTTGTGGTTCTAGGGCCCTAGTTATGCATGAAACTTATTTAACCCTAATGTTTTGAGGGTGGGTTGCTAATATGAATGCTGCCAACCTCTGCTTTCCAGTAATCAAATTATAATTAAACAATTTGGTTTAACCAGATAAATACAAAATACTCTGTCCGTTTCCATTTACACTTGAGCTCAACTCTCAGCTCGAGAGATGAGCTCAAACTCTCTCGGATGTAAGTCAGTGTATCAAAGCATTGAACAGTCCTCATATGAAAATGGTAAACCACTTGCTATGAATGTTGTGTATATTGTTGAATGTCACAGCAAAGAGCTTAACTTTTATGTGTTCCTATATCATAATGATTTGTATAAGTTATTTCAATTAGTCCTGTAATCTAATCTAATTATTTTCAGATTGGATGTCAACCTAGGATTCCCGGTAATGAGACAATTCTATATGAAGTGTATGTCATTTATTTTGTTGATCGTGCTGCAGCGGATTCCTATGATGCCTTGGACAGTAAGGAGCAGAGAGCTGCTACTTTTCAAGAGAAGTTAGAAGCTGCTCAAGGATTCCATCGCCAGGCTAGTTAACACAAAATCTTGCATATCTAATTACATATCCCTGTCAGGATTATTTTTTGTCCAAAAACTTTTATGGTGTCCATGTGATATCTGGAGAATGCCTTCATGTAGCAGATAGAAACTTTCAACTCCTCTGTATCATGGTGCAAAGAAGGTCCGCTATTGTTATTTTGCCATGAATCCCACAGGTTGTAGATTTTATAATCATTTTAGCACACTATCTAGGATTAAGGGTTAGAAGACTTAACACACTGTAAAACAATTATACATATAGCAACAAATTGTCTACAAGTGCCCTGATACCAGAAGACACTGACTGTGGTCTCTCTTGTAAATTATAACCTAGGAGGTTTTGCATTAGATCCAGTTATATTGCTTTATTTTATATACACCACAAGAATGGTGCAAGATATTTTATTCAAATTTGGAATGATTTTGTTGAAGTCTGGCTCACAGAATATCTTCAAAATTGTTTTTGGGGTTTACTTAGTGTTGTAAAATGCTCATATTTATTTTGAGTCAAAAGACTATGACCAATTTAGAAAATCATGATGCCAGGCAGTGCCTCTTCCCCACCTATCCATCCACAAGTACAGTATACTCTACTCTCGTCTGTCTCTCCCTCTCTGCCACCATGGGATCCCATCACAATGGGATCACAATCACAATTGAATCTCATCCAAGGATTCCGTCACAATGGTGGTACTATTCAAATCACTTGTATTGTCTTGTCTTGAATACTGCTCAGTACTCACCTTCCCCTTCAGAGCAGGAGAGATTGCTAAAATAGAGGGAATACAGAGAACATATATAGTATACATACACGCAATAAAGCACCTAATTTATTGGGATCGTCTCAAAGCTCTCCAAATGTATTCGCTAGAAAGAAGACGAGAGAGATATCAAATAATATACACGTGGAAGATACTGGAGGGCCAGGTACCAAATCTACAAAGTAAAATAACAATGTACTGGAGTGAACGATATGGAAGAAAATGCAGAATAGAACCAGTGAAGAGCAGGGGTGCCATAGGCACAATCAGAGAACACTGTATAAACATCAGAGGTCCACGGTTGATCAACATCCTCCCAGCGAGCATAAGAAATATTGCCGGAACAACCGTGGACATCTTCAAGAGAAAACAAGATCATTTTCTCCAAGGGGTGCTGGACCAACCGGGCTGTGGTAGATATATGGGCCTGCGGTGGACCAACTCTCACACGTCAGGAGTAGAGTAGAGTAGAAGGGGAGTAGAACTCCCAGAACCCCATTAACCAGGTATCAACCAGGTATGACAGTGAGCATAATCAGTGACAATGCAGGAAGCAACAATACATTGGGGATGTGACAGGAAACATAACAAGATACAAGGTGTGACAGAAGACATACGGTAACCAGACACTAGGGACGTGATGGTAAACATAATGGGAAACATAATGAGTCAAAGGGACATGACAGTAAATATAAAAGTCACCGGAGACATACAGGAAAAATGAGTCACCGGGGATGTTACAGGAAACATAACAAGACGCCGGGGATGTTACAGGAAGCATAACGGACAAGGGATGTTACAGGAAACATAACGAGTCGCCGGGGATGTGACACTTGATGTTGTTTAAATCTTGAGATATGCTGGGCCAGGGATGCCTTACTTGATTCCCCTCACATCTAGTTGCTCAATATAATTGTTTATTAATTTCCTTATACTGATTGTTTCTGCACTTTTAATGCTTTATTTTTCATAATTTGACTCCAACTTTCAGAAAGTTGTTAAGTGAATATTAAAAAAATGATTGAAGTTCAAAGGTTTAAAAGTTCTCTCTTGAAGAAACCTCTTTTTAGAAAGGCATTTTTGGTTTATTTCAGGGCAATGAGCACTACCGTGAAGGGAGTCTGAATGCCGCAAGAGATGCTTATACTCGTGCAGCTTGGATTATGGAAGATGCTCACGTGAATGATAAGAACGAGGAAGTAGAGAGGGGCAAGATGTTGCTGAAAATGCGCAGTAATTTAGCACAGGTAAACCAGTTTAAGAGTCTGTATGTTTCATAATACTTTGTCTTGCAGTAGATGTGTTGACAACCGTGTTCTTGATTTTTGGTCAAAATGTGCAGTTTTGCAGATGAATTGTTTTGTGTTGTCAGCAGGTTTTATAAGTGTTGGGAGGTGTGGTTTCATAGTTGTGAGGATTGTGGTGGGGTTAAAAGTGTGTGTGTACATGTAGGTGAGGCTGGTCAGTCATTGAAATAGGTTTAAGGAACTTGGTATATGCTAAGGTTGTATCCAGAATTTATAATTGGGGTTCACAAGGAGGGTCCATCCAGAATTGTAACAAATAAACAGGTAATTTTAATTGGTAGAAACTTACAAAAATATAGCTAATAAATACCTTTATTAGTACAGAAAAAACTGGGAATTAAGAAATAGGTATATACCACACAGGTGTAACCTCCATTTCCATCACTGGTGATGGTGTGTCCTGCACATTTGGGACTCCTGTTGTGATACACTACTGAAAATACAATACTGATCATCTGACTTGTGATTCAGTGATGTTTTGGTTTCACATTGTTGGGGACATGAAGCCTGTTGGGCTTATCAGGGTCTCTTTAGGCCAATGCCTGATGCTCCTTAAGATAGAATCCACAATACTTGCCTAACTCTTGCGTACCTATTTACCGCTAGGTGAACATATGTATCGGGTGTAAGGAAACAGGTCAACATGTGTCTCCTCCTGCTTAGGACTCAAACTTTGGTTCATTTGTTTGTGAGCCAACTGTGTGAACTACTGCATGATGCTACTTCCCAAACATACTGCAAGTTTCCCTGTGCCTTATTTACCTGAATATACCTGAGGCCACAAACACTAGTGGCCTCGAGGACAGGAAGCAAGTGGCTTATCAGAAATACCCCATTTGGCCTGATGATCTTTTCCAGTTGCATTGCTTATGATACATACCCCTTGATGTAATAGAGTAAATTTAACTGAAGGAACAAAAGAAACTTATGTTGAGTGTGACAATTTTGCTGCCTTGGTTGTGTGTACGTATGTCATACCCGATAACCAAAATCACTATTTCACTATCACTTGGAATTTTTTTTTTTTATTATGAACCTTATGGACAATGTGATTTTCTGACTTGGGATTACTTGTAGTAATACCTAAGTTTGGCAGTATTGCAATGAGAAATAATCAGCATACATACTGTACTTAGTTTAAGTTAGGTTTTTGCCTGACTCTGAGTTGCTAGTATCGCTCTTCCCTGTGAGAATTTTTGTATTTGCAATCTCATTTGATTTGTTTTTGCTTGTCTGACACTGCCAGTTTTATTCCTGACACTTCTCTTTGTGATTTTTCTGGATGTTATTATGAGATTTTGGATACCAATGCTCATTCCTTTGTCTTCATCACTCGGCAGCCTGTTCAGTGAAGGATTCCTTCCACCCTCAGATCTGTTCAATTTGCCAGCACTGGCTCTATGACGTACCATCAGATCTGGGGTTGCTGGAGCAGCTCTGGGAGCTATCTCGCTTGGATTTTAACAAAGGATGTAGAGCCTACTTCTTTGTGTCCTTAGCATGTACCCGAGAGTTTGGCTTCCTGAGTTTCAAGGGATTTCCTTGTTGATGTCCCTGTCTATTCATTCTTTAAGGTCTCAAGGCTTTGGGGGGATGAATGCTCCATCTCTGTTCTTCCTTCTCCTGTGGCAGAGGTTCTTGGGGATATAGGGTTGCTCGAGTAAGCCCTTGGCTGCTCTTTGACCCTCTTTGGAGTTTGGTTCCTGGCTTTAAGGTTTGTTGCTCAGAACAGACCGAGCAACAAACTCAGAATTTTTTTTATCCTTTATTCCGTTGTGAGCTGGACTACTATTCCTCTTTCCTGTAGGTGCAGCTCCTGAATCCTGATCTGTCTCCTAGATATGCTTTTCCTGTATGGGTTTTCATTGTCTTGTCTTCCCCCTGCATTTGGCTCAACCTGGCTTTCTTTGTTATCTGTTGTAGAACTGGTACTGTGCATCTAATCTGGCCCCTTTGATTGTACTTTCTTGTGATGGCATTGTGTGGGGGACATATAAGCATCTTCCAAAACACCTGGTGTCAAGAGGTTTGGGCGCATTGTGCAGTCTTGGAGCCACCAGTGGGTTTTGTCCTTACCTTTGGTGTCTTGAGAACCTGCTCAGCCGTCTACTCTGCTCCTTTATTCGTGATTTTGTGGACTAGAGTTTGCTCACAGTAACTCCATTTTTGCAGGTGTCCCATTTTTCCACATCCTCAAGCAAGAAGAAATTATGGGATCTCGCTTTATTTTGGGTTTGTGTTCTCTCAACAGGTTCATTTCTTGTCTTTCATCCTGGATGACCACTGTGTCCCAGGTTCACCAGGTGATTTTGAGTGGTCCTTGGCTTCTTTCCATGTAACTTCTGGTCGCTTGTTGGCATGTAGCAAAGATGGTTTGACTACATTCAGAAGTCTACTCTGTTATCCTGATGACACAAAATGCACAATGTGGTAACCAGTATTTAGATTTGAGTTATGGTTACAGTAGCTGAAGTATGATGAGATGGTGTTGGGGACACTGTTGACAAGCTGGAGGCAAAGTGTTTTAAGATGGCTACCTAGAGGCTGGTGAGTGTTGTTGTTTCTCTGGGCTGGTCTGTGGTGGTGTTGATTCTTCAAGGTTGGGTTAGTCTTGCATACCTGTCAGCAGGTGATGTGCAGACCAAAGCTGTTTGCTGGTTGGCTGTGGTGAAGCAATTTGGTGCAGCCGTTTGTGTAGTGGCTCTAAACATTGTGGATATAGGAGTAGTAGCTGTTAGTGCTTGATATAGTTACTCCAATACTTTTCCTTTTGGGCAGCAATATATATCTATGTAGAGAATAAGAATGTAATTGTTGCAACTTGGGTTGCTAGTGGAGTAGCTAGATTTGGTGTCTAGAGGCTGGCAGCATGCAAACAGGCCCTGAGTAGCAGGGACCAATTGGTGCAGCAGGAGGGGGGTGGGGGCAATGCAGTTGGAGGAAAAAGAATGTGGTCATTGCTTCCTGGGATGATGGTGGAGCGGCTGGATCTTGTGGACAAGTTCATGCAGTGGGACCATGGGAAGTGATGTAGTAAGAGATACATCATGACGTGTGGTGAAACGGTGTTGGGACGCTGCTGGACACTTAAAACACTGAGCAAGTTAGAAGATGTACCTCTTCCTACATCCATACCTACCTGTACCTACATCCATACCTCTTCTTTAAAGGTCCAGCATGACATATATTTAAGAATTGTTCCAAATTCAGCATCTTTAATGTAGGACTGATAATAGGAGATGCTTTTTTTGACTCATTAGGCTATAAAACTTTGGAGTGAGTTACCTGCTGAGGTTGTGAAATCTAATAAAGTTCACTTCAAAACTTAGCTGGGAAAAACTCATCAGGATAAATGGAGACATTCCTCAAGCCACCGGGCTACTATATCTGCCATGGCTACTAGAGACAGTAGCTATCGTGTAAAGCATATTGTATAATACTGTATTGTATAGTATCTTGCAAAGTATGAGGTAAAATATTGTAGTGTAAGTTGTACTGTATATATACAATCCAACTACTTGTTTGATGTTATGGACAAACCAACATGCTGAATTTTTTATCTTAGACATTTGATCATTTTGTTTATGCTCTAGTCACTAAAAGTTGTAGATCAAAATGGTACCTTACCTGGAGATGATTTCGGGGCTTAGCGACCCCACGGCCTGGTCGTCGATCAGGCCTCCTCAACCGTCAGTCGTCCGTCGACCTCCTCCATGGTAACTGAAAATTCTTGGAGCTTCTGCTAGCAATGCTCTTAATTTAAAATATGTGTACTGTACTTGTATTTATCTATTTCATTACTTTCCTTTCTTTTCCTAACAAAATATAGTGTGGACTTCTTGTTTAGTCCACTTAAGTCCTTACAAAATCTTTTACTAATGTACTCTACAATTTTTTTTGTTCAGCTCCAATGATTTTTGCAAAGATTTATCATGCTATTATGATTTCCTAGTGTATATTGATAGCATTTTAATTTGCAGGTATTTTTAGATTTGAAGGAGCCAGGTCGAGCCTGTACTCAGTGCAAGCTAGGCTTAGATGTATCAGGAGTTCATTCCACAGATATCATTGCTAAACTTCACTTCAGGTGAGTTTCTTGGGTAAGGATGAATAGGAAGACTATAATCAAGTGATTATATTATTTTGTATGCTTGAAGACATGTTAGCATTTAATCATGGTATGAATAATAGAATCCAAAAATGGTAGATTTTGTAAAGAAAAATATTAAATATAAAGATTATTTTAGATGGCAACAGTGCAAACAATTTTAAAATTAATCTTGAGGTATTTATCCTCGAGTTATTCTTCGTTGTTTTTGAAATGAGGCGAGGGAAGCTTAGGGATTAATGATCAACCTTAGACTAAGAAAAAATCCACCAGAAAGCATAAATGTAACAAAACTAGCAACTGTTTGAAGAAAAGGAGGCAAACTATCATTGCTAATTTTTTAACACCCTGAATATCATGCACCTGACCATTACCAGGTGGCAACACAGGTCACCTAGGGTTCACCTCAGCCTGCATAGGGGGGCACAGAACCTTTGATAGGGCACATCCTCTGCTTCATGGTTTAAACTAAGCAATGTTGACTGTGCCCTGGAACATTAGCTGACCTGACTGTGGCAGTCATTGCTTCATCTGTGTACCTGGAACTTTGGATTAATTTGACTTCTATATCTTGGCCTGTGCTGCATGTTAGAAGATTTCTGTTTTTTTTTCTCTGCTTCACTGGTCTCCTTGCTCGAGTCGTCTTAGGGTTTTCTCATTCATTTTAGATTTGACTTCGGCTGTATGCTTCCTGGCCCCAACTCCAGCCCCTTGTGTTTTTCCACCATTATTTTTCTGGTCTGAGAATTCGGTTGCTGGTTCCTGGGGCTCTTGGGCCCTGCGTTTTGAGTCCATGCTGTGGGTTCTGGTCATTGGCTTCATGGTGTCCCTCTGTTGTTTTTGTTCTTGGCCTAGTCAGTAGTCTGCTCTCATTCCCTTCCTCTGCATTCCTGGCTGCTGTTCAAGCTTGGGGGCTTGTTCCGGGTAATCCACCTGGGTGTTATCCTTTGGTATCTGCCTGGAGTGTCCCTTGGCCTCACTGTATGTGTTAATTAAAAATTGCTTTCTGTGGTGCCACTGCACAGTGCTATATTCTACCATCTTCCATTGGTAAGTCCTACATTTTCTGTTTATTGATTTGTTCTTTTTTTTGAAATCCAAGCCTCTTATGCTGAGGCACCATGGAGAGTTAGGCCAGGAGGCTACTGAGGAAGCCCTTCTGTTAATCAAGTATTGAATATTGAGCCCTTTACTGGTTAGGTCTCAGTAGCTCCCCATTCCCTCTGTGTTCTCTTTATGAGATGGATTTTTTTTTTATTCAAGCTGGTCATAAGTGAGAGAGGTTGGGGGGAGGGGAGCAGGCTGGAGGTTCAGGTGACCTAGACTGCCACCTATGGAGCATTCCAATACATTGTACCTGGATTGTGCATTGAGAAAGTTCTGGGAGTTCTACTACTTCCCAAGCCTGGTCTAGGGCAAGGCTTGACATGAGAGCTTGGTCCAACAGACTGTTTCTTGGGGTGGCCTGTTGGCCCACATATCCATACAACTCGGTGTGTCCAGCACTTTTTGCAGGAAGTCATCTAATTATTTCATGAAGCCCACTTTAGTTCCAGCAGTTTTTCTTATACTTACTGGGAGGAAGTTGAACAACTGTGGATCTCTGATGTGCATCGTGTTTATTGATTGTGCCTATGACACCTCTATTCTTCACTGGCTCTGTGCTGTATTTTCTTCCATATTGTTCACTCCATTATGTTATTTTATTATGCAAATTTGGGACCTGGCCTTCCACCATTTTCCATATGTATATAATGTTATACCTCTCTTGTCTCCTTTCCAGAGAATACATTTTCAGTGCTTTGAGATGATCCCAATAATTTAGGTGCTTTATCGTGTCCATGCGTGCTATGTGTGTTTTTTGTATTTCCTTGATTTCAGCAATCTTTTCTGCTTTCAAGGGGGGTGAGTGAGTTTTGATCAGTACTGAAGGTGGGACAGCACAAGTGATTTGAATAGTGTGAGCATTATGATAGGAGTCCTGGATTTGAAGGTTCTAATAATGCATCTTATCATTTTTCTAGCTCATGCTATATATGATTGGCTATTCTTCCAGAATGTTAGGTTGTTAGACATCATTATTCCCAGATCCTTTACAAGTTGCTTTCCTATAGTTAGTAGATCTGATTGTCTTCTACTAAATATTTTGTTTAAGGTCTTCATTTTTACCATATCTAAGTTCTGTACCTGGAATTTATCAACGTTAAACATCTTGTTATTTTCTGCTGCCCCAATTGAAAACCATTAATACCAGCATGTAGTTTTCAATGTCTTCTACAGAAATAATTTTCATGCTGATTTTTGTGTCATTGCATATGATGACATAAAGCTGTGATTTGTAGTTTTGTCTATATCTGATCTGAGAATAAAAAGAAAGTGATGTATGGACTGTGCCTCAAGGTACAGAGCTTTTTACTGTGCTTGTACTTGATTTTATATGATTGCCTATTACTCTTTGTATTCTGATTGACAGGAAATTGAATATCCATTGCCCTACTTTACCCGTTTTTCCTGTTAGTCAAATTTTATGGGTTAGTGGTGTTTACCCTACGGCAGCTCTTTGATTTAGCCTTCCAGAGTCGGAGACAGGAAGCCCAATAGGCTTATCGAGGTCCCACTATGCCAACTGCTTACCTTCCCTATGATGCAACCTGAAACAGATGTCTCATTTAATTTTCTTCAAGCAGTTGCTTCTTGTGTTACCCTTATATTTCCTAGTGTGTTTTTTGTCAGTTGTGAGTTGACACAAAGTGACACAAAGATTATTGATGTGTCACAAAGACACTTGTGACACAAAGATTATTGATGTGTGTATTTGTGTTGGTGATTAGATATGTATGTGTATGTATATGTGTATACATATATATATATGTACATGTATGTATGAGGGTGTGTACATGTGTATACAACATTGATAATTTTGTAACTAGCGTCAAACATTGTTATTTGCTTAGCTAAACGAACTAGAGGGTTCAGTTCCTGAACCGATTATGTGCCTCTGTAATCCTTTACACCACTGCCCACGGGATGGGTATGGGGTGCATAATAAAGAAAGAAATTGAATTGTGAGTTGATCCCTGATCTGCAAACTTTCCTTACCTCCTAGAGAGCCAGATTCCTCATATTTTGATATTGCTAAAATTTCTACATTAGTTCTAAATTAAAGCACCATTCAAGGAAATGAAGGTCTGAGAAGAAACAAGGCATCGGAGATAATTGATAAACACTGATATTTGTTCTTGCCATTGTTTATTTTTCATTTAATAATCTTTCCTTTTTTCAGATTTGGAAAAGCAAAAGCAATGCTTCATGATTTCAAAAGTGCTCGTAAACAGCTCCTGCGTGCTCAGCATCTGAAACCCAACAATGCAGATATTAGTACAGAGTTGGAGATCTTGCTTCAGAAAGAACAAAAGTCCGAGGAACAGGAACGGTTCATGTACAGGCAAATGTTTGAACCTCTGGCTCAGATTTCAGATGGGAGTCCTGAAGGCAAAGTAATCAAAATTGACAAATCTAAGAAAAGAGATGAAAATTGTAATTCATCTAAAAAATTAGAGGAAGTCCGCCCAGAATTTGAACGGATAGTTAAGGAGAGCATACTAAAATTTGCTGCTAATCCTAAAGCCAATAACCTGCCATTTCCTCTCAATCTGTCAGCTGCGGAGAAGGCTTGTGTGTCCGCGGCTGCGAAGGCTGCCAATTGTGACGTGAGGGTTAAACAAAGGGGAGGAGGCACATTCTTGACAATTGTGAAAAGGAAGTAACATCCTTATACAATAATATCTTTCACATGGTATTGTTGTTAAATGGCCATTGAATTTCACTGATATTGAATATGATGGTGGTTGGGTAAGTTAATTTAACCTGTTATCATATTGCAGTATTAAGTTGTACATACAATATTGAGTTAATTTTAGTTTTATAATTTCTTTTCTTCAGTCATTTAAATTACGTTAGTTCTTAATTCATAAGAAAGGCCTAGGTTTATGAAATTGTTTTGGTTTTGATTTATAAGCATTTAAAAAAGAGCTGCATTGTTAACAATGTTGACCATATTAACTTGTCTCATCCGATACTAAAGTGTGTTTAGAGAATTGTTGCAATATTTCCTGGACAAGGCAAACTTTTATTTTATAATAATAATAATAATAATAATAATAATAATAATAATAATAATAATAATTTCTAAGATTTACACAGGATCAACTTACAGAAGTTACAAAAAATCTTTAAATAGTATTACACTTAAAAATTATTTTACATAAGGTATTTAGTACTTGTATTTAACCAAGAGTGTTAAATACTAATTGAAAGTTTAAATAATATAAGCTATTTTGCAAAGAACAAAGAATGTGTTTTTGAGGTTTATGTATAAATTTCCTGACAACAATTGTCTATTTACCCAATTGCCACCATTTCTAGAAGCTGTAGTGGGACAGGAAGCCAGTGACTTGTATGGTCATTCTAATTTTTATATTTTTCAAGGTGTATTTTAAGCTTGAAAACACTTCCAGCTTCAATGGCTGGTAACCTTCAACCAGTTACCTCTTCTGTGTGGTACATGAACCTCATTGAAGTGCTCTGGGATTAAATTGTTGAACTTTGGTAACTTGTAATGTCTGGAGAGGTTAGCCCTGTTGTGTATGGTTTGAAGTTGTGAAGTTTTGACAGTGCTAAAGTTCAAAATAAAACTGGGGAAAAGACAGACTAATCTTATTGTGATTTACCAAATGTATTTTGAATGGAAACACCATCTTGGCTTCAGTGTCCTTTACTGTACTTTGTCTGTACTTCAGTGTCCTTTACATGTACTCCTTGCAACATAAACATACAGGACTGACAACTCTAAAATAACAATTCTAACCCAACTGGAACATAAGAATTACAATAAATTAGATAATGCAAATGCAGACCAATTCAAAGAGGGCTCTTATGTGAAAAAATGGGGTAACCTTTCATCACCAGTCACTGGTTTTGCTGGAAGAATATGAAAACATGGGAGACCTGATCATCACACACATAAAACAATTGTAGAAATTGGCATTGACAAGAACAATTGATCATCATTGATTAAGTGCCAAATTGAGCTACAGGTATATTAAAAATAGTTTTTTCAATGTCTGAGAAGTAGAGAAATGTTGAAGGGAGGAAGTGTGAATCATTATATAACTCCTAACGTCCCTCTGGGTCTCTTGTCCCTTGAGAGTCCTTTGTGAATCTGATACCTTTGATGCTGCTTGCATTATGTCCTTTTGTTCTCGAATTGGCATCCTGAAGATATTTAGTGCCTTGTGATATCCCACAAGCCTTATGGTACTATGCAGCCTTCCTTGCATGATGGCTTCTTTTGACAATTACTCATTATGTAGCCAACATTACAGATATGACAGCCCCAATGAGTTCAGTAACCTGGGTGTCAGGAGAATGAAGGTTAAGAGGTGGGATCCATGAGCTTTTGCTCAACCCCTAGGAATCACAGATAGGTAAGTACTGATAATAGAAATAGGGATCAACAAGTAAATACAGGAAATGGGTGGGGTGGGGGGGGGGGGGGCGGTAACTATTTGCAGGAGTTAAATAGTCTTAACAAATTTTTAGAAGTGCAAAAGTTTCACTACATCTAGTAGGTTCCTCCCTTATGTTTGCATTTTAAAATTATTATATCAATAAGCTTTGAAGAATACTGATACATTATAGGGAGCCGGTCGGCCGAGTTGACAGCACGCTGGACTTGTGATCCAGTGGTCCCGGGTTCGATCCCGGGCGCCAGCGAGAAACAATGGGCAGAGTTTCTTTCACCCTATGCCCCTGTTACCTAGCAGTAAAATAGCTACCTGGGTGTTAGTCAGCTGTCACGGGCTATTTCCTGGGGGTGGGGGCCTGGTTGAGGACCGGGCCGCGGGGACACTAAAGCCCCGAAATCATTTCAAGATAACCTCAAGATAACTATTATTCACAACTTAGCCATATGTTCCTTGAAAAAAGATGACTGTGAGGATAGGTAATTTTCTAAAACTTGGTTAACATTTCGTGCCTTTTTAGTAGTTTTTTGTTAAATATTTTAAAGCTTTCAGTTATAAGTTCTTATTGTATTTTTTGTCTGCCTTAAATTATATATAATTAATAAAATTACATTACATAGAAAATAAATTTGAAGTAACTATTTTGTATAACAGCGCAAAATGTCTTTTGCACTACATTATGGTACAGTATATAGTAGTTACATAATAAAAATATTTTTTTTCCATCCTCTTACCATAACACTGTGTTTGGTTCCCGAGACAATAGATGCTGCATTCCTTGCAGTAGTAAACACTGGCAGCCCTCTTTCCCTAATACCGTGATCTTGAATAGTGTATCCCATTTTGATGTATAAATGCCCAATTTATTTATTTATTTTTTATTTATCTATCTATTTATATACAAGAAGGTACATTGGGTTTGAGAGAATACATAGCATAGTATTTACAATCTTGTAAAGCCACTTGTACGTGCAGCGTTTCCAATGTCGAAATATGATGTGCTATAAATCATAGCAGCTGGCAAAATTGATGGGCACTCTTCTTTTCTATTTGCGGGTCCTCCGTTGGTTTAAGTTTAGGCAGGTTAGTACATCTTTTATGGGGGGAGCCATGAAAGATGTATTAAAGCACCAGCATGGAGCTCTCACCTGAAGCATCAGTGTGGAGCTCACACCAGAAGCACAGGTGTGGAGCTCACACCTGAAGCACAGGTGTGAAGCTCTCACCTGAAGCACAGGTGTGGAGCTCACACCTGAAGCACAGGTGTGGAGCTCACATCTGCAGTAGCAATGTCGAGCCCTAACCTTCTGAAACGCCAGTGTGGAGCTCACACCTGAAGCACCAGAGTGGAGCCTCTCACATTGTGAAGCAACAGTGTGGAGCTCACACATTGTGAGGCAATAGTGTGGAGCTCACACACTGTGAAGCAACAGTGTGGAGCTCACACATTGTGAAGCAACAGTGTGGAGCTCACACATCGTGAAGCACCAGCTGTATGGAGACATAGTCCAGCCCGTCCTCCAAACAAAGATCCAAAAGTGATTCCATCCACCCACCAAACCCCCTGTTTATGAATGAAAAGCGGTTTACACACGACTCACAACTGCTGACGTTCGAACATATCCGGAACAAGTGTTTCACTGACGAATTTTGTTCGAATCACAACGCTGTAAATGCTTCACCCATGTACTACAAATACAAATAATCGCCAACAGAACCTAAACACCTAACCTAGCCTATCCTATACCTATATATGCACAATATGCTAATATATTATAATATTAATTTATACTTGCGAAAATTCCCGTTTTGAATGAACAGCATGTTAAAATTTATGAATGCGTCTGTGGGGTTGACCGGTGAATGTAATGGACTTGAGTCGAGGACGGGTTGCATAGTCGCAACATGTAAGATATTTTGAGATGTTTAACGGTACTGGGCAGCCTGTCCTCCAAACAAAGATCCAAAAGTGATTCCATGCACCCGCCAAACCCCCTGTTTATGAATGAAAAGCGGTTTACACACGACTCACAACTGCTGACGTTCGAACATATCCGGAACAAGTGCTTCACTGACGAATTTTGTTTGAACCACAACGCTGTAAATGCTTCACCCACGTACTACATATACAAATAATCGGCAATAGAACCTAAACACCTAACCTACGCCTATTTATACACAATATGCCAATATATTATAATATTAATTTATACTTGAGAAAATTCCCGTTTTGAATGAACAGCATGTTAAAATATATGAATGCTGGGTTTTGAAATTGAAATTGAAATTGAAATAAGTTTATTGAGGTAAAATACACACAAAGGGATGAGGTAGCTCAAGCTATTCTCACCCCGTTCAGTACAACGTGTTAATATATACATATACACACATCACAAATAAACATATTACCAAACATTCTGAGAGGTAAAAATATACATTTCCTCCCTCACAAGGAGTATGGTATCAGACGTACACACAAATACTTTTATGACCTAGGTATACTGTATAGACAATTTGCAAGACACCTGCAGATAATTCAACAAAATATTACAATCTTGGTGCAAAATTCTTATATCTCTCAAGAATATCATCAACCTTTCCGTTGTGACACATCCAGGCTATTTGTTCAGGAACAGTCCTTATCTCAGTGTTTCTATATACACTAATCAACGGACAATCAAGAATATAATGGGCAAGGGTGTGAGACCTTAACATACCACATAGTTTACACTTCGTGTCATTACCATGAACATCTATCCCATAAATGCTGGGTTGACCGCTGAATGTAATGGACTCGAGTCGAAGATGAGTTGGTCCTGGGACCAGGAAACCTCATAAATGGAAGTTGAACCTTTTAATAATTAAAAAGTGGTTATTTTGTTACGTTCAAAATACTCTAGATATCTAAAATATGGAGAGTATATCTAGACATTTTAGATCATATAGATTTATATTGAAAGCTAAGTTAAATATAAATTTATTAGGATCCCAGGAATAGAATGATTAATTGTTTAAAGGCAGAGACCAGTAGTTGGAGCTCAACCCTCACAAAAGTGTAGGTACGTACATAGGTAAGAACATAGGCAAGAAAAACAATTACGGACGCCCGCAAGCATAAAAATTTTAGCCTTTTGGTTTTCAGGCTTGAGCCCCGCGCTCATCCTCTCGTGTAAAAGTAATTAACTTTGACTTAATGATTAATTTCAGGCTCGACTCCTGACATCTTGACGTTAACATAGTCAAGATTACGACCTAACCTGAAGTTGCAACACGCGAATTGCAGAATTTACGTAATATAACACATTCCTAACATTAGCACACTCAACTTTTGAAACGTGTCAGGTCTAATACACTCTCTAGTAGTAGTTCAACATAATTAACTTCACAGCAACTATTATAAAATACGAAATGCATTAACCTCAACAAATTAGCCTCAGTACAGCGTACTGTATGATTGCATCCACAAACTGCAAATCTACTTGTGTACTGCTAATTCAACCTCAACTCTATACTTAATCATCAGCCCGCTGCACCCCGCAATCCCGCTCTGATCTCCCGACCCTTTGTCCTCGTCTGGAGTGTGTACGCACTAACATCCATCTGTTATCCGGTAAAGCCCTCGCTGGTCCGAATGTGGCGTGTTCCTATTAAAGTTTTGAAGGGATGTCGAGTTTCTGAACTTGACTGGTCGGTTCGAAAATGGTCTCATATGTTCGTTTCCTTTTCCGGTTTGGTGTTCAAAAAGGGGGTGCGAAGACGGAAGTTTGATAAATGATGCGGGGAAAAGGGAGCTGGTAAATATGGATGAGATACAGGCATCAGCTCAAGAACATGTGTGATAATCCTGTTCATTTATTATGCTCCCCATACCGATTCTGTGAGCTGTGATGGAAAAGGTTACAGAGGCACATATAATGATGAAGCTTCTGGAACTGTACTTAAAATTCATTTAGCTAAGCAAGTTACAGTTTTGATTTTGTTGCTACGTAGTTTAATTATAACATTGTGTTATAACACTGGCTCAAGAACTGGTATAAAGTGATTAAAAATATATAAAGTAATTGCTAAATCCTTATTTTTAGCAACATAGGCTACAGAAAGACATTTTAGAGCGTTCCGGCTACTGCGACAGGTTACCCGAGAATATATTTTTGGCGGTAATAAAAGCAAGAGGCTCTGTGC